GGCATTATTACAAGACAACAAAACAGAGGCTGTCCGCAGGGTTCTTGTGCTGGCCCTGATTTATGGAATATAACATTTAATTCTGTTATTGCCGCAAACTGGCCAGCACATACCCGGGCATATGCGTATGCAGATGATACAGTTTTTATCATTCAAGGACGAACTCGAGAAGAGTTGCAAAGAAATGCTATTGAAACCTGTGATCTCTTTTATAACTTATGTTCTAGAATTAAATTAACAATTTCCGAACCAAAATCGCAAATTTTATTAATCCCTAAAAAAGGAGGATCTTTGGTTCGACGGCCTCGAATCACCATTCATGGTACACGTATACCTATCAAACCGCAGCTCAAATTTCTCGGCGTTATCTTTGACGAGAAACTGAACTGGATGCCGCATGTTTTGGAACTAAAGAGACGAACTGTTATAATTGCATGTAAATTGCGTCAAATGCAGGGTCGTGGATGGGGAATTAGTCCCTATATACAAAAGGTTCTTTATCTCACCGTTATCGAGAGAATGGTCACCTATGCGGCTGCTATATGGGCTGAACCCATGCAGGGTCGCAAAGTGCGCCACTTGCAAAGTCTCCAGCGTCAATTTGCCTTACAGATAACTAGGGCGTTTCGTACTACCTCATCCAGTGCATTAAATGTCATGGCGGGACTGATCCCTCTTCATCTACGTATTCTGCAGGAAGCAGCAATACAATCCGTCAAGGTTTTGAAAAAACCTTTCATCCTATTTGATGAACTTTTCACACCATTGCACTATGAACACAACCCTCACAACATTTGGATGTGCATCCAGTCCTTCAAGGAACAGGACTTCGGATTTTCCTTAAGGACGTAACACTGCCACCTATCCCAAGCATTCAATATTACACTGATGGATCTAAAATAGATCAACAGACAGGCTGTGCCCTTGTAGCCTTTCATAATGGTCAGTCAATTTATCAGTGGCTGGGTCATCTCCATGGAAATAATAGTGTATTTCAAGCGGAGGCCCTAGCCATCCTCAAAGCAGTTCAACACTGTAAAACAAGTGGTGCTATGGAGGCAATAATTATCACTGATAGTCTTTCGTCGCTTCAAGCGATTCAAAACCCCAGACATTCTTCTTCGCTTATCTCGGACATCCAATGTGAACTTCGTAATCAAGTGGGAAATAACATCACGCTAGCTTGGACTAAGGGCCATGCTGGGGATCACGGTAATACTTTGGCAGATAAGTTAGCCAAATCAGCTGCCGAAAATACCGATGCCGAGGCTGAAGAAGTGATTCTTAAGTGGCCAACATCTCACTTAAAACGAGCTCTTCTTTTAAAAGTTATATCCCAATGGCAACTAGAATGGGATACTGATGAAACCGGTCGACGAACGTACAATCATATTACGTATGTGGATCAATGTCGTCAGATAACAAATCATCAACTAGTAAGATATATCTCGGGGCATGGTCCATTTCCAAGCTACTTTTACAAGCATGGAATTGCAAATAGTGAATATTGTGTCTGCGGAACTCTAGGCATACCTGAACATTATATTACTACATGCCCGTTAACGGAGGAATTTCACATTCCTTTCCCTGTGGATAATCAACTAGCATTTAGTAAATTTTTAATTAAGCAGAAGTACCTTATCAGAAAACTCTCAAAAATTATGGACATTCTCCACAGTTATGGATCTGATCTATGTCAGGTTGTCTAATGTTAATGGTTTTGTCCTGTTTTCATAATACAACTGTATTCTTGTACACTCCAGTTGCATTCTTGTCTGTTTACATAGTGTTTTCATAATACAATTGTATTTTTGTACACTCCAGTTGCATTCTTGTCTATTTACATATTATAACTATATTCTTTCTTTTTAATAGTCCCAGTATTGTTACAAATATTATTAAAAATTGTATTGTATTTTAAATGCACTATAAGATATTGCACAATAAGTATTATACTCGCAACCTCAAACTATAGATATGGTATTACTATCTTACTGAATTACAAGCTACATATTAAGTATTCTAATCTGGTTATATATCAAAAATATTGTATCGAGCATTGTAATAACTATTGTATCAAACTATTAGCATTGTATCATATTTCATTATAATTACAATATACAATATTTGCACTCTAAGTACTGCATTATATTCTAACTAGTCTATTAACTTAATTTACTTATTATTTTAATTCTTGCATTAATTATTGTATTAAGTTGGTAGTTATGTAATATTATGTTGAGTTATAAGCTCTACCCTAAGAATATGTGATGCAACATATTGAAATTATGAACATCGTATCGCTATGTATGCTTTAGTATGGAACTGTAAATTAAATTCTTTGCAATACAGAAACTGGATTATTAGCATAACGTTATAAGTAGTCTTGATTCAACTTGGCATTAACTATTTTATTGAATTACATGCAGAATTTTAGACTTTAGATTTTAGATTTAGTTTATTGATTATATTGAATTATATGTCGTGTATTGCATATTGCACAGAATTATTAATATTGAATTGATCATAAGTATTTTTTATACATTATATTGGTATAACTATATTGTTGCATTGTATCGCATATTGCACAGAATTAATAATATTGAATTGATCATAGGTATTTTTATACATTGCATTTGTATATTTATACTGTTGCAAAATATGTCTTTTTATCCTCAGTATTGTACTGAAGTGTTGCTCTTGTGTATTGTATACAAAGTATTGCATTTAATTCGCTTTAGTTATTAAGAACATTGCCTTATAGGCATCATACTATTAAGAATATATATATTGCACTTCTTTTTATACCCTGAGATACGTACTGAATTAAATATTGTATTAATTATTTTACTGAACTAGCAATTGTGTTAAAATACTGTATGAAAGTTAAAGTAGTATTTTGGTCTCTTTTTGCTTTAAATATTCCATTAAATTATAAATAGTATCATAGACGTAGCTTATCGATTTTATACTGTATCATATGTCTTGTATTGCATATTGCATAGAATTATTACCAATTACTTGACAATATGTATTTTTCTACATTGCATTTGTCTATATACTGTCACATACTCTATTTATTTACTCTTAGTATTGTATTGTACCTATTGTTGTGTCTTGTATACTAACCCTGTAAGCATGTTAATTTACCTATTGTATCACATATCTTACGTATTTGCAGTACATTATATTATATCGTATAACCGTATTGTATAATATATATATTAAATTGTGAGCTTCGTATGGATATGTATCATCTTATATGAAATTGCAATGTTGTGAGCATCGTATACATAATAAAATTGCACTATAAGTCCCCTGCAATACAGGAAATGTGTAGTTGGTATCGTAATATAAATAATGTATCATTAATTTTGCATTAACTTTTGTAATTGAATGATATAGCATCCATTATCTTACGTATTAGTTGTAAATCATATTGTACTGTATACTGTATTATATAATATATACATTAAATTGTGAGCATAGTATAGATATGTATCATCTTGTATAAAATTGAATTATAAGTTCCCTGCAATACAGTACTGTGTAATATATATTAAATTGTGAGCATCGTATAGATATGCGTCGTATAAAATTGCACTAATATAGGAAATATACAGTTGGTATAGTAATATAAATAGTGTTTTATTAACTTTGCATTAACTATTGTATTGAACAATATGGCTTATTGATCTTATATTGAATTATCTATCTTGTCTTGCATCTCGTACAGAATCATTAGTATCGTTTTACCTTGTATTGGTATATATCTGTATATGTGTATGTATGTATATATGTGTGTATGCGTGTATATATAGTTGTATAATGTATCCTCTTTACCTTGCATTGGTATTTATATAGTTGCATAATGTATTTATGTATTGTATCCTTGCTTTGTACACTAACTATTGTATTGAACTTACCATCAGTATTAAGATCATTACATCATCGATATCATACTATCAGCATTATTATCAGCCTAGTATGTAGCAGCAGTAGCAGTTTTGTAATATTTAGCATTGTATCAGTTTGTAGTACTGTTTGTAAGTATTCTAGTAGTAGTTTTGTAGTATTGTAGTATGTAGCAGTAGTAGTTTTGTAATGGTGTTTACTCCTTTGGTTTTCTATTGTTATCGCTATCTGTATGTGTTTTGTTCTAATTATGTCTATGTGATTCTAGTATTTATTCAAAACTGGCACTTGCACCTTTGTAATCTTATGCTTTGTCAAAACTTCAAATGTACCCTTTATTTATCTATTTATTTTTTTTGAGCCCTTGTCTGGCCATGTATTTGTTGAACTTTGACTCAATAAATACTAGGCCCGGGCGGTTGGTGTGAACATGCTTCTGGGGGCTTCTTTGGTCTTTTGGACTGCCACCTGGATGGCCTGGTCGCTGGGTTTCGGTGTATGGTGCGAGGCGCCTGTGTGGTCCATCTGGCTCAAGATAGAGGTGGACGTGTTGCATATGCCAATTAACCATTACGGTAAAGAGATGGTGCACACGTCCCCCGTCAACTATCAACTATCAATTTACACGAAAAGAATGCAAGAGGTCGCAAGTCTTTACCATTTAATATACACTCATGTCCATAAATTAAGGATAATGCAAAATCAGGCAAAGGAAGAGTTAGAAGCAAAACAAATGTGACTTATTTGTAAAGCTTATTTATTAAACAAAAGGTAAAGAGCAAAAAAAGATGCTATATGTTTGATATTATTAAAAGAATTAGCGATATTTTCTCCCAGGAGCAAATTACACAAAAAAAACCCTATTTACAAAAAACCAATATTACATGGTTGGTATGATTGTTAATACATTGTATGTCTCCCAGATGATGCAATACAGTCCGTACAATGCCTAGGCATGCTGAGAATCAAATTATCGATCTGAACTTGGGGGATATTACGCCACTCAAAAAGCAATGCTCTCCGAAGTTCCGGTACACATGTAGGAGGAGGTTGACGGGCTGCAACTCGTCGGCCAAGCATGTCCCACACGTGCTCTACTAGATTCAAGTCCGGTGAGAATGCTGGCCAGTCCATACGGGTGATATCCTCCGATTGAAGGCATTCGCTTACGATGTTTGCACGGTGAGTACGGGCGTTGTCATCCATAACACAAATTGTGCGCCCATGGCGCCCCGAAACAAACGTACATGTTGTTCCAGAGTGACGTCCCGATAGATTTGGCTTGTCATGGTTCCAATTTGAACATGCAGGTCAGTTCTGGAACCCAGAATAATTCCACCCCAAACGAGCACTCCTGCACCACTCTAACGGTGTCATTCAATGATGTTTTCTTGGTGGTAACGGGTACCTGGAACTCTCCATATGAAAGTCCGGCGAGAATCAGACTGCAAGTTAAAAATGGATTCGTCGGAAAACATCACACAAGCCCACTGTTGCAGTGTCTACAATGCATGCTTTCTACTCCAGGCTAACCACGCACGACAGTAACGCAGACGACAGTGAGTTGCAGTAAGTGGAACGTATCTGGCAGGTCTACAAGCATATAGACCAATCTGCCCTAAGCGTCTGTACACGGTCTGCCTTGAAATTGTCGTTGCAGTGGCTGAAGAGAGCTGACGAGACAGGTCTGAGTGCTCCGCCTGTTTTTTTTTTTTTTTTTTTTTGGCAGTAACTGCCAAATACCGGTCCTCATTCGGCGTTGTAACTCTGGGGCGACCTGTACTGTAACGTCTACTCACATTACCATCATCTTGGAATCGTTGCCAAAACCTGGAGATGACACTCTGGGCAATTCCAAGTTCGTTTGATACTTCCATTTGGGTACGCCCACATTCCAGACGGCCGATAATTCTACCACGTAAAAAATCATCCAAATGCGTCCTTTGTGTCATAACTATTCGGTTATTGCACTGAAATGCTTATAAAGCGCTGCGAACAATTTTACTTCTTTGCCTGTATTCCTTGTATATCATTCTCTTACACTCTCGTCTTTGTGACGTACCATCGGTGTCATCTGGTTACTTCCTGAAATTTGCATATGATTCTTGAAGATGTGTGCATTTTACAGGTGATATATTTATTTCAGAGTTCGATTTACGCGTGACTCCAAATTATCCTTAATTTATGGACATGAGTGTAGAATCGATAGAAGCATCGGCCGTTAGAGATAGTTGTTGATGATCAGCATGGTAAGCTGGAGTTGCCAACTTCATAAGATCATATTTACATGCTTCAAGTGCTTGCGTTAAAGTTTCGACCGAAGGAACCAGGCGTTGTTTGTCATTTTTTTAGCAGTTCATGCAAGGGAGCTTGGGTTTTGGCAGTGTTTGGGATGAAACGAATGTGGAAACTAAGCATTGCCAAAACACGTTGTAAATCTATAATAGTTTCAGGTTTGGAGTTTCGGCTATTGATTGAGTGTTTCCGGGAGCAGTTTTAAGGCATTCCCAAAAGGCTCCAGAGGATTTTCTTAGAACACATTTAGCTGGGTTTAGTTTCAATCTATGCTGTTTGAGTCGATGTAAAACTCGCCTAAGATGGCTTTCGTGTTCCTTCTTATTTGACGAAGCTATTAGAATATCATCCGAACACAGTATATAAAAATCTAGTCCACCTAGCAACCTATGTATTAAGAAGTTTGCCTTACGTTACCGGATACAAATGGCGTAAGCAGAAATTCAAATAAACCGAATGGGGTTTCTACAGCAGCTTTTTCAAATTCCATTGGATTAACAGGTATCTGGTGATATACGCAAACTGAATCTAAAAAAAGGAAATACTCCTTCATTGTAAAATACTTGTGTATAGTCATAGGTATGATGGAGCAAAGATCCGAAACAGTGATGGCATTCAAGCAACCCTAATCACTGCAGGAGCACCATGCGCCATTTGGTTTTTAACTATGTGAAGGGGGCTTGACGAAGCACTTTTTAACGAAAATGCTACACCCTGTGCCAAGAGAAACTCAAATGTCTGGCGAGCAGTCATGAGGATTTCAGGCGATAGCCGATGCGGCTTAGGAAATGCTTGAGGCCCCTTGGTCTCAATGTGGTGAAACACAACATAATTCAGTCCTTGATCCATCCATGAACTGATTTTACAATGCAATCTCTTCTGGAATACTAGAGACATCTATTAGGAGCACTACGAAGTAAAAAATGTGAAAAAGCCGGAAAAATCAGTGGACTGATGTACACATTGCCCGAATGGTGTACGGACAAATCAAAAAGTCCCTTTTCGAGGCACACGAACGGTGTTCGGGCAAAACAGTTAAGTGGTTTTAATGACTTAAAGACTGACGTTCCACCTAGAAAACAGCTGCTTATTAAACAATGCCCAATTCGATTTCACCAAAGGCATAGTGAGGCAACAAAACCATAGACACACTAGAGAACCTACAAAACAACTCTTGCAAAATAAACAGAATAGACTGCACGGATGCGTTATCTCGCTGAACTGGGTCTGCGCCTTCAACCAGCTTTGGTGGCTGGCACTGAAAGACTAGCTTCGACAACTTAATTATCTGAAGAGTTTATTTCGACTTATCAGCAGCTTCCTGCACAATAGAAAAGTTACTTATAAAAGGGATGGAGTCTACATTACACAAGATTTCAATAACTGCGCTCCACAAGGGTCGAACATAGGAACGATCTTGTGGAATATCATCGCCAATACCACTCTCAGTGGTATTCAATATTGTTAAACTACTCAATGTTATTAAAACAATAACCTTTGGAATGAAACTTTAGGGAAGAAAAAACAGTCTACAGATGCCAAATGCGGTTTATAAGGGAAATGGGTGAGAATTGTGAGGCTTTTCTTTGCCAGAAATTACATGACGATGGAAATGATGATGGATGGATGATGATGGAAATGTGCAACAGTGAACTGTCGTGCTATAGAAAGGAGTTATTGAATTAAAGGTTTTATACAAGTCTAACGCGCTTGAGAGGTTTGCTGGAAATTTTTTAAAAAGTTTAATTTGAAACATTTGTAGACACACTGGGTATAAATACAATATAACAAAGAAGTGAACATAAAAACATTAAACGATTACTGTTTGAAGTGTGACAGTTAGAAAATGTAGAAGAAAAAGCGCTAGAATTACAAACAGCATCACTAATTGTTATAGCTTATGCATTCAAAATCAGGATATTTTAAATAAAATAATAATTTGATTACTAAAGATTAAGCTCGACAAGAGAACCTAGATTTAAAATCAGAAGAACAGAAAAACTATACGGAATAGCATCTGGAATTGCTGAAATAAAAATATGTGAAATCTTGTTATTCGGTATCATAACACATGGGAAAAATCCTAATCTTAGAAGTATTTCACTTTCATTAATCCTAATTTAATTATTCATACCTAAATCTTATCCACAAATTATTGTTCGATCGCTCAATTCATTACAAATTCGTTTATCTTAATAGTGGTTATGCGAACGATAAATAAACCAAACTTGTTAAAAGTTGTTTGAACAGACTCCGGCAAATATTCCGAGGAAATTCTGAAAATAAAATGTACGTGTGGTGACTGAAAGAAATTCTCCGAAATCTTTCGATTGCTTTTCTCATAAGTCTCGATAATTTAATTCTTAGAACCCTAAATTATCTTATAATTATTAGCTGTGGACTATCGACTCCCGATTAAAAGCGGTAACACCGGGAAAGACATCCACGGTTAATCCAAAATCATAATTAATCTGAAGGTAGTTTAAAAGAAAATCCAGGAACGAGGAATAATCCATACCATAATGGACAGAAAAATATTCTTACAACTATTCTGCATTTTTAATGTGTTTAATCTGGTGAATGAATTTATTTGGTTACGCAAGCTGAATCAATATTCAGAATAAAGGGTGGAAAATAGTATTAAAGAATAGTATAATGTATTAAAGACAATGATGCCAGACTTCTGCTCATTCGTTACCCGTCTACTCGAAGTCGTTAATGACGGTGCATGAACTATAAACCTGGTAGTTTAGTCTTTAAAAACGACACGGAACGCGAAATGTCTAGCCCAGAGTAAATGAAGGTCATTGAAGACGCGTTATCACACAATAAATTTGATGCTGAGGGTCCCTGTGAGGGGATACAAGTACCAAGCCAACAATCTACTTTGATAAATCCCATAGTCCCCGGCCTCACATATAAAAAATTAGTAAGCAATAGATTTCTCCGTCGATAGAGGCAATATTAAATTAATAAATTTGAAGGTTTGTTGTTGTTGACTAATGCCCACTTGTCTGACCTATAGTCAACCCAGGCCCACAAAATTTCTCGTGTCAAGGAGCTGAAGATACGCCTGTCGTTGGCAACAGCCTTGAGCACCTTACAGGTGACAGTGCGATTTAGCTCAGTTTCATCCCCAATTTTGATGAAGAGCACTCCGGGGTGGAATCAGAGGGTCTCCCACCCGTCTTCTCCTACCATCAACCTATCGAGAGGACTTTCGGCTCGCCGCATATTTAAAGTGCCCCCATGCCTCACGGACACTATACATTTGCAAACATCCATGCCTTCTCCGGAATTCGAACCGAAGCCCTTCGGCGCGGCAGTCAGCGGCGCTAACCACTATATCGGTTGGGCGGCAGTTTGAAGGTTTATTAGTGAAATGATCTGCGCTCTTTTTTATGTTTATTGAATGATATAATTTACTTCTCAGTTCTAAAAATGTATAAAAATTAAATATTGTTTTGTAATTTAAGTTAGAAATAAAACGACGCTTGCATCATGGATATAGTGATTCGTCTCCATCTTATTTCCAGTAAAAGCATCGGTAAAATAATTTCGTGTGGGCTGAGAATCTGTAGAGGAAGTTTCTCGTGAAGGTCGATCATTGGAGGCCTTGGGAACAAAAATTATTGCGTATATCCTTGAGAAAAGATTGAGTAATAAGGAGATTAAATCTCAAGGTGACAGCAACAATATTGGATCCACCTAAAATAATTGTTTTTGTAATTCTAAGTAGAATGCTTTTTTTAAATTATTTGAATTTATATAATTTTTTTATTTCATCAGTTTTTCAGAGTAATCTCCGTTTAAACACTTATCCTAACGAAAAATCTAACTTTTAAAATAGTCCTCAAAGACCTTTCTTGATGTTTTGATATCTCCCCCCTCTCTCTCCTTACGGCATAATTACGCTCTTTTAAATCGACCCCCCCTCTGTTTTTTTTCCTTCTAAATGTGGTATACATAATACTCCTTGCAGATGCAGAATAATTTTTGAAGTTTTTCCCACCCTCTTTCAACAAAAAGAAAATGATTGTTTCCTTGGTTGCGAAGACCGTGCTACAAAAATGCACCTGTATCGGGCAAACAACTGGACTAAACAGTGTTGCACGAGATAGCAGCATAAACATGTCAAGTTTTGTCACAGGCCAATAGCGTTGCCTATATAAGTTGTAGGAACTGAACGAAAACTCAGTTCCCAGAGTTTTGGAAACATCCCAAACTACGTACATGAATATTTCGCATGAATAAAGTGTCTGCAAGATGCAGACTCTTATTTTTTTTTAGCAATTCAAAGCAGAACTCGTCGACTCGTCGATACAATTCAAAAAGAGTAGTGGGGGTTCAAAGGGCCTTTACCGCATAGATTTAGCTCCAAATGATTACTAACCGATTTTCCAAACTGAAATCTGACTTTCGCGGAAACAGATTTGATGTGAAAATGTGACTGTGTGATCAGAATGATATGCAGTTCAGAACGATAAGATGATCAAAACGATATAAAGTTCAGAACGGAGAACACATACCAAAAACATGCACACATACTAAAAAAAAGGGGGGGGAAGGGAAGAAAAGAAAAACGAAAGAAATCTTACTGTGATATTGTTCCCACATCAGTTGTTGCTGAATGAAGGATTCTTACTCTTCTTTAATAAATTAAAGGTTTACTCTAGATGTAGCTGTACTTATTTTGACCGGATCACTGACATAAATCTTGCAAAGTATACTTCCTACAAGTCTAATAAAAACAATTTTAGATTTCCAAGAATATGAAATTCACATAAAGCTACAACAATTTCTTCGAAGTGTTAAAGTCGCTGTATATCTCACCATTAAAAAATAAATTAAAAGGATATAGAGTATTTAGGTTATTGCTAATAAGATACAAAAACCGCTTGTATAATGTTACTTTTATAGCCCAATGTTGCCCTACGATTAGACGAGAAAGAACACCTGCATAACATTTTCTCCGTACAATACCCTTTCACTCTAGCTTGGTTCTTAAGACTAATTACGAGTCTTCTTTCCAGGTAGAAGTAATGACTGGTGGTTTTTCCCTTTCCAATTAGTGATGTTGCTTGTTTTGCCCTTCGAAATTTTATTACCTTGCATTTCACAACGTTTGTGAATTATGGTATAGGGATATTTCTCTTCGGAAAGCATTTTAGAACGATTTCGATTAAGAATTTTAAAAATCCAGTGCTTAGGAATAAAAATTTCTGGCAACAGCTTATTATTCAAAATTAGAAATATCGTTTTGCTACTTTTAAGGTTATTCTTCTTTTGAGATGGCGCATGTAAATTAGCTGTGAATTGAATGATATGTTTCTGCGCTTTCCGAAGAGAGATATTCCTATACCGTAATTCACAAACGTTGTGAAATGCAAGGTAATAAAATTTCGAAAGGCAAAACAAGCAACATCACTAATCGGAAAGGGAAAAACCACCAGTCATTACTTCTACATGGAAAGAAGACTCGTAACGAACATCCGAAAAAGATCTAATGTTTCCAGTTAAGTCGTTAAATCGTTGGTGAAACTAGAAGATCCGCTGATGCAGAAATCAATTCCGAAGTCTTTAAATACACCTATAGCAACAATAAATAAAATAATAAACCAAGATTTACAACTTGAAAAGACTAACAAACGTAATGTTTACCAGCTTTTGCTGAAGGATGTGGCTCAGCCAGAACAATCTGTACAACCCTATTTGAAAACTACTTAGGAGATAAATGGAAATAATCGTTTTAAAAATGTATATCCCTCCGTATATCAGCAAAAAGGCAGAAAAACAAACAATTTAATTATTTTAAGAAAATTAAATGCTGTGAACTTTCGGTTCACGAACTTAATTTATTCTTGAAAGCCTTTCCTCATCGGAAATGTTCGTAAACCGAAACTTTTTTTTTTTTTTTTTTTTTGGGAATTGATACAAAATGGATTAATCCATTTCTTCACCAGGTGGAATTTAAATATTTGCAATAATAATTTATGCACAAGTTCGCATCACAAAACAAAACGAAATTGTTACATATAAGATAATACGTAAATCAATAAATAGCTAAAATAAACAAAAATTTTAATTCTGCCGTATTAGTGACAGAGGATAGTGGAAAGTGATGAGGAAGATAAAAATGATGATACGTTTTTTTTTGGGGGGGGAGGGAATCTCCTTTCAAAAATGTGTCGACTAACTGTTTTTCAGAGATATTTTCTTTTATGCTTTGTCTCTTAGCTCCATTCATTTCTACTTGAGAATTGTTCAAATCGATCATTTTAAATAATAATTTAATTAAAATTAAGAAACCATTTCTTTATCAGGAATACATATACAATAATTAAAAACATTACTTTCAAAAATTCAAATTTTATAATGAACAGCATAAATTTATTCTTTTAAATTAATTTTATTATCTGGATGCAGTTTTCCCTTTTACAAAATTTAAATTTTTATTTTTAAAAACAACACTGTACAAAAAATTGCATAAATGTCGTATAAATTTCGAAGCTAGGAAAAATTAAACTTAAAAGAATATACTAATTCAGAAGTCAAACAACATGTCTTAATTAAAAGAATATATTTAAAAAAATCAAAAAGCAAGAATTTACATTCAAAAATTATTCAAAACTTATGAATATAAAGTTTTCTTTTATCTCTTCAATGCTCCGTTTAGTACCTCACAAACTGAAAATTTAGGCCGATTGGAGTTTGAAAACTTTGCAGATTTTTATAGAATATCATTCTGCATTCTTTACTAAAGTTCTATGAGATTTTTGACAAGAAGCATTCCTATAGAATTATGTTTCTATGAAATTCAAAGCTTTATGAAATTTCTATAGATTTTTATAGCATTTCTCTACAGTTACTCTGTCTGTATAGGTCTACAGGAATTTCTGTCAGCCTCTATAAAGAATAGGTTATTGTATCTGCCTCTAAATTGAATGTAATTCAGATAAAAGCGATGAATGATGAAGAATGGAAGAGCTTAACAGACCTATGTATTCCTGAAACTCCTTCATTATGTTGCAGTACGAAGGACATAAGATCACATCAAGAAAAACAAAATAATCATATCCAGACAGATTAAAATTTAAGGCACGTATACTACTTTTACATCTCTCTCTCGACGTCATTGTTTTTTACTCGGAACATCTGGTATCTGAAACATTTTGTTTTCTAGAAAACCTCTCCAAAATTACAGTTTTGTGTTGCCGAAAGCGACATCCCACATCAAAATCTTGGAAAATAATTTCCATCGATGTTTACGCCAAAGTGATTTAAATCCATGCAGAGTGAAGCTCTTAAGAAGGTCTTATCGAAGGTCAATAAAGGTCATGCGTGTAATGAACCAAACAAATCGACTTTAAAACGAGGCCACGCATGTAGATCGAAGTCATTCGTAACCAGTTAGCCGTAACTTTAAGAGGTAAGTAATTACTTGGTAATCTGTTCTTCGCTTTTTGATTTATAGATCTTCTTATGAAACTTTTCACTCCTAAGGAATATGAAAATAAAAGTGTTATGTTTTTAATCATCATTTTTAACATCATTCACCAAAGAAATTTATGACAACAAAAATTTCTTACTCACCAAAGAAACTTATGACAACAAAAATTTCTTACGCAAGTTCATCTGTTTAATTGATTTTTATAAGAGTGTTTAAATAATATTTAAATAAACAGGATATTTGACGGAATGATTATGTATGTATTTATGTATAAGCAAACAATTAAAAAAAAGTTTTAAAGATGATTGTTACAAACCCAAAATTTTAAGTAGATAGAGGCTACTGCAAAATCATATTTTTTTGTTAAAAAGTTGCTGCAGGATCGCTGCCCAATGATCAAAACCAATGTTCTTTTGACTAGTGTGTTTTGGCTTCTCTCTCTATTAACATGCTGACTTTTTTTCTGTTCTTTTTTTTTTTTTTTTTTTGTTGTTGTTGTTGTTGTTGTTGTTTTTTTGTTAAGGTTTGTGTCAATTTGAAAACTCTTGATAAGAAATATAAAATAGTTAAAAATAAGTTTTCTACGTCATGAGTGCGTTATGTATCCCAATAGCTAACAATTTTTACCAATAACTTTTCATAAAATGACACAAATCATTTAAATTAATTTTTTTTTTAATTTTTGATTTCGTGTATTAATAACATGCATAAAGTCCACAGTATTTTTCATCCTTCTGTAATGCAGGTTATCCCAAGTAAACTTAGCAAACTCCTGAATTTTCACGTCTCCCCTCGATAAATCACTAATCGTGATACCGGAGTGCAACTCCTGGAAAATTAATGATCACTACCGTTAAAAGAAAAAGAAATGCCCTGAAGAAAGTTTTAATGACAAAATTTTAAAAAAAAAAAGCAAAGTTGGCGAGAATGATCTCTTAACGAAATTAAGATTAGACAAATCCTCTTCGCCTTTAGCGATTTTTCAGCGTAATTTTTTATTTAATTTTAATTTAACCTGAAGTTTATTAAACTCTGTTGAACTCTGCTTTTTTTTATTAATCCATGAAAGAGATATGTAGAGCTTTTTAAGACTTGATATATGTTTTATAACTAAATATTTGTGCATGGTAACCTACAAATGATGCTTTATTTATCTTATCCCCGCTGTTATATGAAATTCTAATTCGTGGTCTATTTCTATCGTGTTTAAAATTTATTTTATAAATAAAAGCTTTTCTTCCTCCCGTGGAAATTTATAAATATTATTTTCTAAATTAAAAAAATGAAATTAAATTAGCCAAAAAGCATAACTTAAAGCTAAAAATCTAAAAATAATAAATTAAAAGTATCAAATTAATATATTTTATATCAGATTCATGTTTTAGCCAGTTTAATAATCGAAACATACATCATATGTTAAGTGAAATTTCTTATTTTTGAATTCTTTTGAAGTTGCATCGTAGTGCTGAGCGAAACCCTCCTCGTTTTTCGTATTTCAGAGTTGGCAGCTATGCTATAAGGGAATATTTATATAGACAAAGGTAGGCAATGTCATTTTGTAAACAGTAGATGCAATCTTGGGCAACGGTAAATGCACAGCTGTAGATATTATTTAGCATCATTAAAATCTTCTAAATAACATTTTCTTTCTGCATCTTACTTTATTACAGAAATACAATGTATGATACTCGTAATATACCCAATGCCGCTATAAATAAACAAGAATAAAACTTTCATTATTAAAAAAATCCAATGTCATTTTATGGATTTCTGTAAAACCCTCATTGTGCTACTGTCTATACTTTTCGAATTATTGAATTTGTATTTTTTCTGTACTTTTGGATCACCTGGTATATAAAATTCATTAAATTTTCAAGAAAGCCACAGCAAAAGTTCGATAATCCGGAAATTTCAGAATATCGGTACTACTGAATGATCAAATATGCCGAATTATAAGCCTTATTAAGATAATGCGGCAAAGCAGTTCTGTAATTTAAATTCAACCTATTCTAAGAATGTAAAGTTTTAAACAAAGGTGTGCCAAAGGTAACGCACCAAATTCATTTAACGTCTGAAAATGAACTGGAAGACAATTTACTGAATGTGCATAAGTTACTATTCTTGATAAAGTTATATTTTTGAATGTTCTATCCCTGAATGCAAAATATATTCTAATCTATATATTTTGCAGATGTATCTAATGTTTCTTCAGCCTTTTACCAATCGATTAAGTAATATTCGTTAAATGTTCTTATTCAATTCAACCAATTTTGTCTTTAGAGTGTGATTAAAAATTATTTGACCGAACGTTTTGGATTGAATTAAGCAATTTAGAAGGGTTAATAATGTAAGGTATCAATTCTTTTGTGTTTTCGTCAGAATTTTCAAGGCCAAACGCTTTCACTTGCTTCTGAATGAGAGGTTCGTACTCTTCTACGAACATATCTATACAGTACATAAACTTCTATACATAAAGATAGTATTAATAAAGCAAATAGTTTTTCTTGTCGAGTCGTGTGCAAAACAGGCGAATTCTTTACCTGAAATTTCAAGATAAATTTCATTTAGTCCGCCAACCAAGGCCACTAAACACAAACTTGTTGGCATCAGACAGTAACCAACAACCTGACATTAGACTAAGCTATAAGCAATACTGACTTGTACCTACAAGAGGCAATAGGCTAGTTGCAACAATTCCTTCAGTGAGATTGCACTTAGATGTGTGTATTAGTAAGTCCATATTACATATATGGGTAGAGTAGACTTTAAAGTACCCCTTGTATTATGGCGAAGTTGTTGTTTCATTTATGGTATCCTGAGTAGTTGAATGTTATGGAAACCTTATTGTGACGTAATCGGGTGCATGATTCTGGGAAATTTTGAATCATGGAATGTTTTGTAAGCGTTTTTGTGGCGTGTGTTGGTTTGATTCTTTAGACAGTAGAATGACCGAATGTAGTAAGATTAATTTGAAGTTTCTATACAATTTGGAGCGAAAAGGGAAAAGAGCTTTGACTGCTGTGTAAATGAAGGTTTACGTAGTAGCTATTATAAGTGATCTGTATGTAGGAAGGATATGCCTCTAGTTGAACGTAAAAACCGTTTAGATGGATTTGAATGGGTTTGTAGGAAGAAAGGTTCTGATGGTGCACTATGTGACACCGTTCAATAGAAATACTGGATTTGAGTCCAGATAAGTCATTTAGGAATTTTGATTAGATGCTGTTAAAGAATTTTACGTGTGCCTCTGACTAAAGTACGAAGCGAACTTCGAAAATCAGGGTAATCATGGTAATATTTGCTTTTTGGTAGTGCTTTTAAATGTATAACATGTTTTTCCTTTTTTTTATGCTATTTTATTTTTATTTTTTGTTTGGTTTAAAATGTAGTTTATTAAGATTATGTATTCTTTGTTTGCCTATACTGTAGAACTGGGTGCTCCTTTAGACCTTTTTAAGTGAAAATATATCGATGTGTACACGGACAAAGTAAAGGGAGTGCACAATGTAAGTTTGTGCAATTCTCGGATTTTTTTTTAAGTGCAAATAGGTCGACGTGTGCATGGATAAAGTTAAAAGAGGTAGCAATGCAATTTTTGTGCAATTCGGGGATTGTTTTTTTTAAATGAAAATAGGTCGACGTGTACATGGTCAGAGGAGTGCGCAATGCCATTTTTGTGCAATTCGAGGATTTTTTTTTAAGTGAAAATAAGTCGATGTGTACATGGATACCGAGTTTGCGCAATTGTTTGTCTTGTTATTTTGGCTTTGTGTAGCGGCGATTTTTGCGGAAAAATCGCCGCTTCGCAAGCCAAAATAACTAGTCAAAGAATTGCACAAAATCGGTATCCATGTACCGCCAAAAATCGCCAAATTTCGCCAAGGGGAACCCTATACTTTTACCACATATATTTTAATAAAAGCAGTGTTGTACTGAAATTCGATCTTAGTATGCTTTTATTAGGAATAAAATATATTTCCCCTTAAATGGCTTAATTACTATCTTAATATTTTTAAATTTTTTTTATCTTAATATGTATCGTCCGGTATCCTGTGTTTCTTTCGCAAATATTGGACAAACTTTATTTTAAGATAATGACAATAACAGCAAGTTGTAGTTATCCGGTACCGCCTAATTAAAGGAGGCATCGTAGGAACTGTAGGAAGAGATTGCAATCATCTTGACAGCTACGTACTCACTTTTGGCTTTAAGAATATTTACACTTAGTACACTGCTACAAATTGCAAATAGTTAGTATTAGAAAAACAAAATTATGTATGTACCGATATGTAGAGGTCTTGATGCATGAATCTTCAGTTGATGTTGAACGACATGGGAGATAATAATATATATTGAGTCGATTTTAGCTATCAGTAGGATAACAATAGCAACCCTGTTGTTGTTCTCCTCATCTTGCTGATGACGAATGTCCGGAGAAGATAAAAAAAATCTGCCTAAATTAAGACACAAATAATAATGAATTGTTTTCTGTTATATGAGCAATGAGTCTGGTAAATGTTTCAACACAGTATGGATCGATCAATAAATATTTGATCGATTCTCATATTGTTAAAATGTGAGGAAGAATGGATTTTCTTGAATTGTTGAAATGACTGCAGATTTTAAGATAATGTTATAAATCAGCATTCGCAATAGAAATTTCACAGGTATATCTCAGGTATTGCCTATGAACAAGCTCGAGATATTAAGGAAATTTTCCATGTTTTTTAAGATTTGATTTAGAAGATGGTTAAACAGAAATCTTTTCAAGATGAGTGAGTATTGGGAATTACATAACATCTTGATGGCTCCGTCTTTTTTGACATATTATTAAGCTTATTTATTTCAAAAATGTTTTAACTGTCATGTTTGACGCTGAAAGATGATAACCCACAGTCTTTTGGATAGTGGCTGATGTGTCAACTCTTTCGTAACTTGGTATTCCTATGCATCCGCTGATGCTATATCAGAGTGAAGTGACCAGATGTTCGAGATTGTATGGGACAGTGGCACATTTGAACGTAGAGTACCGTTTCGGGATGTGTCCAAAAATACCCTGCATTCAGTAAATATCCATGAATTTTGCAAAAATAGCTGACATGAATTTCTTAGTGCTATTCTGTTCGGTCAAAAGATGTTATTGAGGAATCAGAAATGTATTCAGTAATCAAATAAATCATCCTTTCTTAAATATATGTTTCAGGGAACTCTTACATTCATACTTCAAGAATAGAAATTACCTTCAGGTTTCTGATGTTAAGCTGGAGTCTGTATGATCATATGGCAAGCCAAGTTTAAGGAACTCTTTTATATGTCTCTTATAATTACTCGAGTTGCTGACTAATTGAAACTTGCTTACAGCTTTTTTAACAATGTTTCCTCAAAATATATTTTATTTTTCCTGTTAATACACACAGTATGTGAATAATATTTTTAAATAAGTTTGTCTAAAATAAAAAAAAATAAACAAAATTCTTACATTTTATCTACCAATGTAACTAACTGTATAAAACTCTTATCATGTTCAGACAGCTACTTGATTCCTTCCCAGAACTCCTTTTTTTTAATATTATTTAAGTTTCTCTTGCATCTGTCTGAATCCCTTCTATGCGATTAAAGTAATGCTTTCATTTTAGTGAGAAAAAAAAAACAATCTCCATTTGCCAAATCTGGTGAACAAGTGGGGTTAAGAATTGAAACATTTTTCTTTTGCAGAAAAGTTTGTTCAGTACGGAATTGTCGCATTGTCATTTACCATAAATCATGAATTCTATTGAATTTTATCAAGGCTAACGCGCTGCGTTCTTTACAGAATTATATACATTACATCTTTATAGAACATAAAGTTCACTGTTTTTTCTTGCAGCAAACATATTTCTGTAAACTATCCCCTTCCATCAAAAAAGGTCACTAATGTAGTCTTTATTCGAGATTTCTGAAATTTGAATTTCTGTAACCATAGTGAAGTAGGCAGCAGTTCATGAAGCCAAATAGATGACTGTCGTTTTATCTGAGTATCGTAAAAGCAATAAATTTCATCTCCAGTCACAGTTTCTTTGAAAATATCAAAATCAGTTCTCGCTTTACGGCAAAACTTTATTATTTTTCTTTGTTAAGCTTTTAGAAATTCGTCACAGCAGATGTTCTTTGGATCAAAGCAAACGATTAACTGCGTTCAAAATTCAAAATTCTGCGTGTAAGTGGACGACATTTTAGGAAAAACAAAAGGAGATATAATATAAATAAATATTTTAATTATATTTTGTCAGCTTTTGTTGGAAAATAGTCCTTAAAAACTTTGTATGAAATATTTTTAGTTTCATTTATTGAAGAAATTAAACATTTGCAACTTTACAACATTTGAATCCTCAGATTTTTAACAATGTTTCCTCAAAATATATTTTACAGTCTCCGCAAAATTAAAATGGTAGTATTCGGTTTCGAGGGCCGTAAAAAAATTGCAGCGAAAATGTATGCGCGAAAGCGCCAAATCTAGCACGCACGCCCATTTAACAGCGTGCCAAATCTCGCGTACGCGCGCTGATTTCAGATGGCGTAAGTTTATATAGTTCTATATTTCTTAAGACGCCATTGAAATACTAGTTTAATTTTTAATTCCTTTTTTGATATCTTATGGATTTAACAATTGCCTATGATGAAAAGTCTGCGATAGAATTTTGGGTAAAGTGCAGAATCACCTACTGCTTGACGCGTTTTTGAGAATTGCACATACTCGGTGTCCATGTACACATCGACTTATTTTCACTTTAAAAAAAATCCCAGAATTGCACAAAAATGGCACTGCGCACACCCTTGACTTTATCTATGTACACATCGACCTATTGTCACTTAAAAAATCAAAGAAAATTGACAAATTTCCAATTGTTTTTACCCTTGTAAAAAGCGGCAAAGAAATAAGCGGGCGATTCTGCACTTTACCGAAAAATGTTTTCAAAGAAAAGGCATCATTCATTATAGAAAATTATGGTTGAACAACCAACGAGATGACATTATGTTTTAGCGATAACTCGGTAGCGAAATAGTATATGAAATTAACTTTTCATCTAAATTAAAACATCAATATTTAGATAGTTATTTACTATTATACTTCCTTTCTTGCGTTAGGGTTGCCGCAATTACTTTTGGCAGCACTGGCATCAACAATAGTTTGGCGATTTTTTACGGCCCTCGAAACCGAATAGTACCATTAAAATTTACAATCCTATTGTGTTTAATTTTTGAATTTGTATGGATAGCTCATGATGGTAGAAATCAACTCGTAAAATTATTTTTTTTCGCCGTGCTTATGTTTACTTAGCTAAACAGTTCCAGATAATAACTTAATGGAAAGGATATCCTGTTTTGCATCTTTAATCAAAGGGATATCCTCAATATCGAGAAAAGGAAGACACCTGTTGTTCCGTTTTTATAAAAAATACGGAAAGAATTACTGATGTCAAACAAATGTTGTAGGACTTGAATATATATTTAAAAAGGATTTCGGGAACCATTGATGAGGTAAATGCTACAGATTCCTGCGGTCTCAGAGGGAATGATAATAACAGCTTAGATCTGAAACTTTACGTCTGACTGTAAGTACGAAAAGTATATATCGATATATAACTCCTCTCTGCCGTTCCTACAATTCATTATCAGCCAATACAATGTCCCGTAACTCGTAAACTACGTGTTTACTGTTATATGTTCAATGAAATTTCGAGACATCTTCAGCAGTAGATTACACGCCTGCTCAAGTTTACTTTCGGACATCTTGTATACATAGTATATAAAGTTGTATTTTTTTAGGAAGCACATTTTAAATATAAATAAGCATTCAAAATACTAGCATTTTATTTTGATTATAAATCAACAATTTAATTGTTTAATGCATATTTTCAACAGATTTAATTACATTTCTTATGCAATAAATTTCTCATTAATGCATGCTGTAAAATTTCCACGTGTAATTTCGTGCATGGGATTTTACATAATTATCCCTACGAACAAGTTAACAATATTTTTTTCTTCATTGTTAATTTGTTTATAGGGAAAGTGATGTAAAAAATCCCACGTTTTTTTAGGAATAATAACGTAAATATATTCTAAATAACTATGTAAAGTATGTCCTTTGTGTTATAAGGACAACTACGGAAAATACTATGTGTTGTTTGGCCCTAATTGTCCAAAGACATCCTTAAACTCTTTAAAACTTCCCCCTTCCCGATTCATTCAGTATCAGCTTATGGATAGCGTACTAATTAAAATTTCGAAATGCAACAATATGCTTCTTACCGCTTTTAAAATAACAGTTTGGCAAAAGAACCCTTTGGAATGTGTTTTTGTCAAGAATGATTTTTGAAGCTATTATCATTTAAATTTAAATATCGTTCCTCATTGTAAAACTTGAATTACCACACTTTTTAAATTATGTGCTGCAGACACTCTAGAACTGCTACCATTATTTAGTTAAACATTTTTTATTTTATTTATTCAGTATTTTAACGAATTCTTAAAATTTTTAAGCAATATTATTAAAATTAGTGAATGACTTTTTTTAAATAACTAAATACAGTATAACTTTCTGTAAAAATATGATTATCTCATATATTTCTGTTATATTTTAAGACATATTTTATATTTTTTCAGAAATTTAACATTTTACTCCATTTTTAAGAAAAGAAAATCCTTTCATCATGCACGGCATAACTTTATCGGTAAGTGTTTTCATATACTTCATAATAAAAATGATTAAGTATTCTTTTCAAATATTATTAACAAAATTGAAACGAAATGTGTAATTTTAATACTGCACACTTGTGGACAAAAACGAGTATGTGAATTTGCGAATAGTCAAGCATTTTGATAAAGTATTTCCGTCCTTATGAAATATGCATGCATAATCAATATTCTGAATCTGTGCACTTGAAAAAAAAAAAAAAATTCTTACCATTTAAAAATACTTTTTAATAGAAATTTCTCGTCAGGTATAAAAAACCTCCAACGCCATCTGTTGACAGAAAACAGAACGAGAAGCAGTTATGAATAAATTCTTGTACATTCTTTGAAGTTATATAGTGAACTAAAACAGAAATATTTTTATGGGCGTGTAAAGCCTCCAGGTAATACATTTCATTAACTGAAGAAACTGTTTTAATAATTATGGCTTCAAAGAACTGGAAAGTTTTATTATCCGGCCGGTACTGAAAAGTTTGATGAATACTTCTCACCGGTACACTGAAAAGCTTGATGAATACTTCTCACTGGTACACTGAAAAGTTTGATGAATACTTCTCCTCCTCCCCCCCCGAATATAAGTTTTGCATTTTTTTTTAAAATTTTATATTAGACTGTAGTAGCCAGGATTACTCTAATTAAAGTCCTTGCCTGGAATGAAATCTTTAAAAACAAAACTACGAATTTCACTAATACAGAAAATCAAAAACGCATGAAAGTTGTCACAGCGAATCTATAAAATGTTCAGACCACGTTCGAACAAAATCAGGAATTCAAGAAGCAAAACTTTTGCTTCATAGCTTTATATAAATTGAAAATCTAAACAATGATTCATTTGTTCATAGAGCTGCTTGAAAGCGTTGAAGAAATCGTTGTTCTTCTGGAGTACCGTTTAAATCTTTGTTTATGGTTTTCTGAATGTCTTCAGTATTACTCAAATATCAACCTTTGAAACGAGACTTCACTTTAGGGAAGAGAAAATAGTTTGTAGTTGCCAAATCTGGTGAATAAGAGGAAATGTTCAAGAATTAAGACGCTTTTTTTTTTACTAAAACTCTTTTCTTCACTTCTCTTAAAACTTTAGAATTGAATTATGTCCTCGCATTTTTGTGAAACAAAAATCATTTATTTCGTGGAATTTTTTCGAATTTAAAGTTCGTAATTATCTTCAGTAGTATGTCTATAAACACCTTTATAAAATAGGGAGTTCATCGTGAAGAACAAATTCCATGCGAATTATGCTTCTTTTAATGAAGGAAGTTCATCAGTTGATCTTTACTGGAAATTTTAGTTTTTACTGCTTTATAGCAAATCAGTATTGCTATTCTTTGCTCATCTTTCGAATCCATGACGGAACAGCTCAGAGAATCAAAGTAAAATATTAAATCTACCAAATAGGAATAAGTAGATGTCCATAAGCAGACGATATTTTTGGCAAGGCAGGTGTAGATGTCGTATTAAGTCACATTTGGTAAATTTTCGTAATTTTTTCAAAAGAATTAGTTTTTAAACTTTGTAGATGAACTTCGTATTAAAATTTCATCTCGTTTTTGCTTTTAAAATTTTACATTTTCTACATTTCAGGTATTTGCTCTTATGTTCTTGGTTTCTTCAGCTAGTAAGTATAAATTGTTTCATATTCGTTAGGGTTGTGTTGTTTCTAAAAACAAATTTATAATGAAAATGCATTTATTGATTTTTGTGATTTAGATTTTATTCTAAAATCTAATAATTTTTATTCTAAAATCTAAGCGTGTGTAATTGTTTCCATAATAACTTATCAAAATGTAATACCCTTTTTAAGAATTTTTTTTATATTTTTGTAGGAAATCCTTTCTAATTCTAAAAATTTGAAATATATTTAGAAAATTAGTTTGATATAGGATTTTCGGATTTATTTCACTGCGTATGTATATTATTGAATATCGTCAAAATTACTCTTAAACGTAAGCAGTATGTAAATAAAATCAAAGAGATCAAAGAAAATAAGTAAATTTCTAGTGTCACTGCTCCTTGCCTAGTAACATGATATACACAAAGAAAGAGATCAAATTTACTCGCATGACTCATTTTTTTACTTATAGTATATTGTTTCATGTATCTTTAATATAACATGTAATAGATTTTCACTTTAAAGGTAAGCGTTTTCACAACCGAAGCTTTGTAAGATACAGAACGATAGGAGACCAGAAGTTTTAAAATTGTCCATATGCCTATAGAAAGAAACTGATAGCACTTCTGCGAAAGGATTTGGAAATTCTGTAATTATTTTTCGGAGCGGAAGCTCGAAAAGTCATTATGCCCTCACCAGGATTGGAAGCTCGGATCCTTCAATGATAGCTGGATGTGCTACCATTTATACCTCCAGACCACGCACGGAGGAATGAGATAACTTCTAATGAGTTATTTAAAGCAGATTTTTTTCTCTAACGGCCTTATTTAGTATCTGGTGAAGTATTTATTTACTTAATTATTAAAAAAAATTCTAGAAAATTACTAATGTGAATCTTTAGCCGCAAAACTGATAACGTAACTTCCTAGGCCACGAAATTTCACGATTTATGCCGTGACTGCTCTGCCGATTTTACACCTTTCCCCATACCATAATAGCCCCAAATTATTACGATGGTTTTAATTTTGTGCACGACTGATGTCAATGTAACTGTTCAACACTAACCACATCCTCAGAAAAGAGCGACTACCGGTCTGTAGAAACCAAAGGTCTAACATCATTTTTCTTATTTTAACAACTTCACTGAAATATTCTCGGACAATTTGGTACTTACCCGATTTTCGCTTAGACAGTCATAAACATGTATGTTTCCCCTGAGAACTGAGTTTGGGTCTATACGTATGAGCATCATCGAGTTGCCGTATGAAGAAAAACAGCTTCAAGTCTCACTTCAAAGATTCGGAATCACACTTACAACTTATAAAAGCTTCAAGAAAAATCGCTCCTGGAGCTTCAAAAATACATTTTCTGAAAATTTCTGGATTTTGCCAAGCTGGTTAAAATTTGCAAAACGCCGCCAAAGACCGGTAAGAGGGTATCTAGCCTAAGTTTCTGGTTCTGCTTGAGTTATTCTTACAGTTATAGTCAGTCGGCTCGAAATGTTATAAGATCAGCAACATAATGCGGAACATACACAATTACAAACAAAATTAGTAGGCGCAAAGTGTAAGTTAAATGAAATAAACAATTATCATACGAAATTAAGTAAAAATAATACTGAACATTTCAAAAATACATAAAAATCAAATATAAACAAATCAAAACATTATAACAATATAGTATTTTTTAACTTTGCAAACTTTGTTGAGTTAAATACGATTAGCAAAAAAAAAAAAAAAAAACCTTCCTCACTAGCATTATAGTCTCACAAACGTTACTGTAATTTACCGTCAGGAATACAACAATTCAATTATATTGTTGCGTGCGAACGGGTTCGTAATAAATTGAATGCACAAGTTCGATGAAAAGAGAATCAAATTTACTATTATCACAACAAATAGAGCAAAATTCTTAAATTTTCTCAGATATTCGTACAATATTGCAATATCTCAGAGTAGTTATCTTTTAAACTACTCAAACATTCAATAGAACTTAATTCAAACGAAAGAAAGCTAATCCGATTTCACCGCGAAATCGCTACAGTAAACAACAGCAGTTTTCTAAACAAAACTGAATTGAGAGGTTTTGATCCCGTTTTTCTTATAAGCTTTTTAAATGTGCACGAGCATATTCTGGTATTTTCTCGATTTTTCATGAAAAGCAGGAGCGTTCAATTACGAGATATCTATTTATTAAATGCGCATGCTCCTGTATTTTTAATTTTCCGGCTTAGCTTTCTATTAATATTCGTCACGCGCTTTACTGCACGGCGAATAAAAAAATTTAATTTATAATTCTACTAACATTAACTATTTAAATACCAAATCCGTAACATTATGAATTCTTCGAATAACGCTTCTGTGTATAATGCTAGTAAATCTATATATTCGGAGGTTTTATATATTTTCTTTATATTACTGCTTTTTATATTTTAAATAAATACTTTTTTACATTTTACTTTACCCAAAATTAAATTTTTTCGAGTAAATGTTATTATAGGATAAACATAAACCTTAAGTGTAGTTTAAAAGCATTTCCACCTCTAAATTCAAACAGATGTTATTTAACTTTAAATAAAACGTTCATTCAATGTACGGGCTTCACTTAGTATACTTAGCTTAGAGATTAGGAAAAACTTTAAAAAGTTTTTAAATATCCAATCATTTTTAAAAGCAATTTACAGTAAAAATAACTTTTCATTTAGAGCAATTCCCTCCCCCCCTTTGTTTTTGAAAAAGGAGGCCTAGCACTTCATGTATTTATTTTAATCTGTTTTATTTTAATAATCGTATAAACTTTCTTTGGTACTGTGCTTTTAAAAATGACAAGATAATGTGTTTTTGTGTTTGCTCTGTTTTTCCATTCCAAGAAACCAATACTATCTTCAAATTTTTCTAAATAAATCATTCCGTAAGATATATGCATGCACTAATAGGAATTAATATGAAATGCATTTCTGTATTAGAAAAATTAGGTAAACTGTTTTGATATTCTCTTATTCCATTAAAAATCTTTTCATCATTATGCCTGTTTTGAGACCTAACTTTTGACTATCAATTTAGAACGAAAAGTAAGTTCTTTAATGCAACTTTAATCTGACTCAAGAAATCAAGCAGAAATAAATGTAATAATACAGATTTCAAATGTGTCGAAAATGCAATAGAATTTCTGTACCATGAGCATATAATTAAAATATGTATGTATGTAAATATGGTTTTATTATAAACACTCCCCCATATACAAGGTGGGACATGAAAAAAGTAGCTTGCTTCAATACTATGTGGAAGAAACCATAGCCTTTGTGACAACAAAGGCTATGGTTGTGTCGTCTCTCCGGCGGCTTATGATTAGAGATAGATGTACTTCTTACCTCCAAGACTTGGGTCTCAAATAAAGCAATATTTAAGTTTATTTTGCCCTCCTGTTCACTCCTTCTATATATATCGTTTAGACAGTAGATTTCCAGCTTGTCATATTATCACCGAGTTACGTTTTCATGAGTTACCCTGTATAGTATGGCCACGTGGCAGCCCGAAGAGCATCAGTTGTAAAGCAGTCGGGCTGCAATATTATACCACTGGGAAACATTACTATCATGTTGTAGAAAGCGTATCAGTATCTGTGGAAAGTTCAAAATATTAAACATGTTTCTTCGTTTCCAGTTGCTCAAGACATTCGAAGTGAAACTACCTGCCAAACGCACAAACGAAATTCTCAAGCTTCAACGGCTGCGGTGAAATGGGACATCCGTTGTGACGATCAAGGATATTATATTCCCCTCCAGTGCACTAAAGACAGCCCAAAATGGTGCGCTTGCTACAATAAGGAAGAGGCCATCACACAGCCGTCCAGAAGCACCAAAGCCTGCGAGTGCTATTTGGCCAGAGAAAACGCATTGAAGAACTGTGAGTATTGACCGTAATCTTTTTTGTTTTTTATTAATGTCTTCGTATTTCTGCTTTCTCAGTGGCCCCTCATATTTTATGCAGACCAAAGTAATCAAACTAACTTTTTTTAAGCCAATTCCGGAAATCTGGATTTCCTTTCGGTGTGGTGAATTTTTAGCTTGTAAGCCTTTTGTTGCATTTTGTAATACTAAAATATTTTGAATTAAAATCGCATGCCGTTATATATGAAAGGTAAAAAATATATAAACTCAAACTATACTTTTATTTTCCAATAGTCCCTTGAACCTCCATTTTAATTTAGTTACTATCCCTTGTAGAGACATTAGGATTATTTTTGGAAGCCGGAGAGATGAAAAATTAATAAGGCCTTCGCCGGGAATCGAACCGCGGACCTCTGGTATATCTGCCCAGCGTGCAGAACCACTACGCCACAAAGGCACGCTAAGACGGCGGGAGAAATACCTTTCTTATACTCCTTTTAAAAGGCGACTGGTTTTTTTAGGGACCCAATCGCCAAATCCTGGGTGAGGAGAATCATCATCCAACACCATTTTAGTTCGGGCGCCACTGTAGAGACATTAGGAATTTTTGGAAGCAAGAGAGATGAAAAATTAGCAATCGCCTTCGCCGAAATCGAACCGCGGACCTCTGGAATACCGGCCCAGCGTGCAGAACCACTACACCACGAAGGCGGGAGAAATACCTTATACCCTTTCTACCCTAAAAAAATAACTGTTTATAATAAATCTCTCTCTAAATTCCGTCATTTCAAAATTAATCGCTGTCTTATGACTCTTACATAAACGCTAATAATAGAAATGCTTTCGTAAGGCTTCAGCAATAATAATTTGGACGCTTAAAAGTAATCAATCAAAACATATCTAAAACACCGAAGCTAACTCATTCTGCACTAAAGTTTCATCTTGATCTCACTGCATTCCATCGTGTCTGCTTTTCTTCCTAGTTAGAGCGGTGCCACTGCTTCTCTTCTACAGCAACATCTTCAAAAATGTAAATCTTTATTTAAGAACAGGCGCGCCGTAAGCGCACTTTATCTGGGTTACAGCAACATCTTCAAAAATGTAAATCTTTATTTAAGAACAGGCGCGCCGTAAGCACACTTTATCTGGGTTACTTTTTATACGGAACCATTTCTTCCTCCAATTCAAATTCCTTGAATTTGTAAATTCTTCTACCCCTAAAACTTAATATCTAAAACTTCATTTTAGCTATTAAGCGGAAAAATTAGACCTACGAATACATGCGGTTAAACTTAATAATGTGATGGCACCAAACCTGATCCAAGGATTCACCGATTAATATGTAAATACATAAGAAAATATGTCGCCTGGGAGGAAAATGGATTGAGTTATTTGAGTACGGTAAAGCACTCAGCAGCCACCTGAGAGAGGCTGAGGGGAGGGCAGGCTTCATGGACACCTTTTAAGGAAAACCGACATATATCTAAGCTATATATTTAAAAAAAAAAAAAAAAAAAAAAAAACCACGAAAATTTTCACGGAACAGTTATTTCGCCGAAATTTGAAACCGTGTCAAATTGCCAGGGACCAGCGATTTTACTGCTCGGCCGCTCAGGCAATCCTGAAAGTATAGTATATATACAATACAGCAATGAACCCAGGAACAGATGATTAAGCTACAAAACTTCTAAAAGCGCTATCACACATGCATCTGTTTGGGACCAACAACTATTTCAAACAGCTTTTATGTTAGCTTTATCTTTGCGAGAAAAAAGATACGATTATTTCCTTCCTTCGAAATGTTGTAGATTGCGAATTTTCATCCAGTCAGCATCGGGAATTCTTTGTTCGTAGTCTGTATGTTTGGGAAGGAAAATCAGCTTCAACAATAGTAACTTGAAAGTGACTCTTAGTAATCGTCTGTTGCAAACAGAATGAAGTTAGTCTCTTTACCACGCTTAAGTTGAATGACGTCACTTGACGTACAGAAGCGGGAAGAAATGAAGACAAAAGCAGTAGCTGCTTTTGAGTAGACTTCTGCATCAGTGATGTCACCGAAGAACAAACCTTGCAGTATAGTACCTTTGGGGTCTTTGATATCATGCGATAAAACAGAAAAATTGCACTAAACAGTTATTCTTCTGGAATGATTTGAATGTGCGACATGGCTGTAAGGTGTTAAAAACAAGAAATACTATTATAAAATCGTATTAAAATCGATTCTTGTTAAATAAAAGGAGATCGCGGGGAGTACATACTTGCCATGTGTAAATAATACATACATAGTTAATCAAAATAAGAATGATACGCTACATATTGGAGTAGAATGAACTTAATTAACATGAGGCAAAATATGCATAATAATTAGAAAATATTGCAAAAACATTAGAAAACATTTACAAAACTTAATTTGATGCTGCCTTATGAGCAAGTTAAAAATATAATAACTTTTTTTAATGGAGTCTTAGTGTCTGAAACATTTAATAATTTTAAATGGAGAAAATTTCCCATAATGAATCCTAAATACCATTAATTAAATTTAATAATTGCAGTTAAATTTTATTTATTATTTAAATATGATAATTTTAAAATTAGATTTGTTATTTACTTCTTTTGGTAGATGTGGCAATGTTAATCTATTTTTTTTTTATTCAGCGTTCAGATTTTACACGTTTGTCTGAGATAATCTATTTTTCTAGTCGGATCGGATATAGCGAATCAAGTTACCTTTTCGTTATAGCAGATTTCGGATATATGTGCTTTATTTAAGCCAAATTTAAATAGTAATTTGGTACATGTATTGATTATTGCCTTGAAGATCTTTTATCACTTCATAATATTATAAAATGCAATAAACGACGAAAACGGTTTAACTTTACTTCATTTCCCTCTTTTATAGCGGCTTCTGAATGTGAGACACCAAAATGCGCAACCAATGGAAAATTTGAAGCAAAGCAATGTTGCTCGACGACCGGGAAATGTCATTGCGTGAACACAACCACTGGAGTGAGGACTACAGAGCCCACAACTAACAGGAACCTGCAATGCAGTTAAACATAATCTGCATCTGAAATATTCGAATTCATAAAGAATATGTTTTTATATCTAAAAAAAGAAATAAAATTAAGTTTGCATTTTGCCATTTTCTATTTTTGTTTTAATAATGTTAAAAACGCCTTTTATTGTAGCATTATTTAGGAATATCAGTTGCAAACTAACGGACTACTTGTTGTATATAGATAAGATAAAATAGGTACTTGGTATCGACTTTAAATAATATTAAAAAATATAAATTTTTAAACAGATTATCTTATTAACTTCTTAACTGATTATTAAAGTATTCTAAAAGTGAATTCTTTGCCCATTGATAATTGAAACATATTAGTTTAGATTCAGATGTTATTTAGATATTCAGAACCACAGCTAATGTATTATGTATTTCCGTGTTGAAACAGGAGAAAATTATGCAAATGTTTTAATGTTATGCGATTTCAAAATAATTTTCAAATAATTTATCACAAAAATGAAATTATAGATTAAATAATTAATACAATAAAATTAAGTAAATAAATAATAAAAATAAAATTATAAGATAAAAAAATCTGAAAGGTTTCAGGTTTTAAATTAGGTCCAAAGGGGCGTTTTTTTAACATTTTGTACGTTACCTTTATTTATTAAATATCATGTTCTTCGTACTTAAACCATAAAATTCAGTTAAAGAGCAATATCGCAAAATAATTTTAAGCCGAGCATATCTTTAGAATTTCTGATACACAGTCTCCCGCGCTGGAGATAAAAATGTTTTTTCTGTACAACATTGCCATCGCTCGCTTTGAAATCCTTGAGTTTGTTAATCAAAAATCCGTTAAAGGTTTACAAAATATGAAATTCATAAAAAAACAAATTTCAAATTTTCGTTTCCAGATGCCCATATTCGCAGTAGAATTACGTCATTCAAAATTGGATGGCTCTAGGTACCATTGTTTTATCACAATGCGAGAAACATATACATTTCTGCAGATTCTTCATTATTTAATTTCTTGAAATATAATACAAAGCATGGTGGCAACGATTTAAAAAGTGATACAGCCTTTTAAAGGTTTCGACACAAAATGCGAAACGAAATTAATAGTCTTCAGGGCTTCTTGCCCCTTTGGACTAATAAGATTAAATTAACGCATTTAATTCTAATATATTTTAGAAATTTCACTATTAAATAATTGATGAAATATTATTTTTAACCTATTTAATTCTAATGTATATTAGAAATTTCACGATATTTCTATTCGGCAAGGAATTCTCTCTGTTATTGTAGAAAATATTGTAGAAGGCGAGGGGATGGAGATATATCCAAGTGAATGTCAGCCATCCTTCATTTTACTGCTGACATCGTTATCGCTCGTTTTGTAGAACATATCATCTTCAGTTCAATCCATAACATTGCTCATCAAAAGGTATAACTTCAGTTAATTTCAGTTAAGTTCAAAACTAGAAGAATACGGAGTTCTTTTTTGTTCAGACATCCTTCTGCATAAAGAAGAAATAAAGAATTGTAGTTTACTCGGAAAAATGACAGCGCAACTAAGAACTTAAAATTTTGTGATTGTTTAAGAATGGTTTTCAAGCTTGATAATTAAAGTAAAATTCTTCATGCTGTTGCTAAGGCGTGAAATGTTGCGCTTATAGTTGAGAAAACTGAGAAGCGGTTAGCTCCTAAAGTGCCCTTTCATTCAACAAAACTCGAACATATATTTTTCGAATGGAAGCTAAAGGTGAACTGGTTTTTTTTTTTTTTTTTTTTCAGTTCGTTTGATAGCCTTGTTAGCAATCAATCGTACTTAGCGATTTATGTAACTAAATTTTTACAGCAATTTTAAGTTAGGCTTACATGTGGGTTTTGAATTTTAGCAAAATATTTGACCAAAGTATCTTCTATCGACTCAACAGTTTATATTCGGAAATATATGGTTTTTCTGTAGGTTATGCCATCTGTTTACGGCTGGAAGTTAATACAATAAATCTAACTTTTTATACTGTCTTTATAAAGTAAAATTTTCAATATATTAGAAAGATTTTATAATAGAGATATAAATTATATGAGGTTAGAATCGTCCTTTATTATAGCTACAGGATGAACACTATCGATATTGCTAAATATATACAGGATGGGTGTGGGTAAAAAAGATGGGCTACATGTTTGATATCATCCTGTGATAGCAATATTATGGCTAGCGGAAATGAAATAGCGTCATCCTCAAAAAAAAAAAAAAAAAAAAAAAAAAAAAAAAAAAATGCTGATCTTTTTTAATGCTTTCTCAGTTCTCTTCTGCATCGTTGCTACTACGAGTACATTCAGAAGATTTTTCTTATCTGGATGCTTTCTATTGTAAGTAGTCGTTTGCTACCATTTTCACTCGCCGATGACATCAGTACACAATTTCACGATTGTCCAATCTCACAACGTCATGATCAGTCAGCTACTTAATTTTACCTTGTTACAACTGTTATTTGCTGTTGCTTGTTATGTGCTATCTTGGCTAACTCTAGTCCTATTTCCAGGTTCAAATTTACCAACGGCAAGGTTCGGGGCAAAATCTCTCGTAGAGGGCACTTCTGTTCTAGTTCTTTTCAATGTAACTGATACCACTTATATACAGTATTTCTTGAAATAACTGAATAATTTAATATTCCTCCTCTTAAAAGTTATTTAAATAAGAATTACTTTTCACCTTTTTATATGTTTTGCTTTCACGGTTTCAGTTTAAAATCTGTTGTAGAATATAAGGTTCAATGTTTTTACCAGATTCTTGTTTTATTTTCTATAAAAAACTGGCATGAAAAGAAATACATAAAGAGTTCTTACAGGTTTTATTAGAAACCTTAATTAATTAAATTGCTGAAATAAGACCAAAATAATGCAATTAAATTTTTCATCATTTTAATAATGAATTATATGACCAAGCCTATAACAATAAAGTATGATCACATTCATTTGACGTCATACGTTTAAAATACAGTTGTCACACAATAGGAGAGATTAGTTTTACAGGTTAGCCTTAGTTTACAAATCGAGGATCTGATAAACTATATCAGTCGCCAGTCGGAATGCAATACCAATAATTGACTAGTGACTTCCAATGATATTTTGAAGAAAGACTTAAAAATCTGAAATTCGAAATTTAAACTTTTATTGCTGATTCTAACTTTACATTTTGAAAATCTGAAACTGAAAACAATTAACTTAAAATTTACATATATTAAACGATGCCGAACGATTTAGAATGCCGGAGCACATGCCTCGTTTGCCGTTACGTAAATCAGGTCCTGCCTATTTGAAATGAAGAAATGGTATTTCAACTTTAATATACATTTAATTATTTATCAGCTGCAATATAAAGTAATAAACTCCATTTATTTCAAATGCATAGCAGTATTTCTAACTCACACTCTGCACCGTTTTTACATTCACTCAATTAGCTGAAAATAACGTGTTGTTATAATTTAAAAAAGAAATTAATTTTGCTCATGAAGTAGTAAAAATCGCAATATTAGCAATTTGTCTGGTGTAAACCATGAGATTACAAGTAGACGGCAATACAGAATAAGGAAGGCTTTTCCAGTTCGGCTAAAAGTAAGTTGTGGTTTTATTTTGCAATGTGTGGCCAGAAAACAAGAACCTAAGACTACAGTATTTAGTCGTACTTTCCACGAAGTGCTAGAAATTTTGATTAAGAACCACGAAGAACTAGAAATTCTGACTGAGAACTGCTAGCATTATGTGACGGTGCAATTTTCGTTATTTTTCATAAAAATGTGATTCCTGTGAAATTTCTATTTCCAAGATGTTCTCCCATATAGAACAAATTCCATGTAATTAATACTTTATAATTCCATATAACTGATATTATGTAGTTCTATATAATTAAATTAGCTGGTTAATTAGCTAAGTTATTGTAATAATACTGTATATGATAATAAAAAAAATGAGGGCGCTTATATTCTAATACAGTATTTAAATACTGAAGTACTTATATTAGTCCGCTTTGCTACAGCTATCAGCTGTGACTGTGGCGTCATCTCTTATTTGCGCCTTTGCAGCTCAATGTTCTTGAATCTGGTGACCTTAAGGGTCGAACTGAGGACTGAGACACAGCAGCCAAGCATCGTCTCGCTGAGATAAAACGCACTTAGACCTTAGTGGATTAGACCTCAGGAACCGAAATGTGAATTTGCTTTCTAGGGCGAGTTGTCTGATCGCCGAACCACCACAAAATTACGGTTACCGCATTTTTCTCAATATATTGTTGCGTTCTTTCTTATTTCTGACACCAGTTGTTACGTTATTTTCTTCCTTCACGTTCGTACGGGGTTCGTAGATTTGGAGTGAATAACGACGACACTTGATGAAGTATCGAAACACACTTTATTTACCAGTATTGTCAGCACAGCTCCAAAACACGTTTTACAGTCGTCGATGAACTACTATAAACACGTTGACACGATCAGCGACACAGCATTCAGGTTATCAAGCTATCACGGTGGAGACAGCTTTACCGCAGTGCACCAGAGTACAGCTTTCGACTCTCCTTGGTCGTTCTCGGAACTCCACGTACTCTCGAGACTCTCCACGCTACAACTCGCGATGCACTCGACGACACACAGAGCACGGCTCCCGACTCTTCGGTGCAGTCGTTCCCGGAGCCTCAACACGGTCTCTAGACTATGCACTAACCGCTATACACTAAGAGACACCTTCGGTGCACTCGACGACCCACTCGGCACTCGTCGCCCGGCTGTCAATTAGATTGACTCCGCACGGCTTGCTAGACGAGGCACACTCTCTGAGACACTCTCACTCGATGAGAGACGCACACTGACTGACTGCGGACCAGCAGGGTTTATATAGCTTTCGGCTTGTGTTCGAGAACATTCTGGGCTAAACCGGTAAGAATTCGTTCCAGAAGGTTCTCCATCCGTCCATGGCATATCGCAAATTTTGCCACCAAATGTCGCCAAAAGGGAGATTTCTCGCCAAATGTGGCAACCCTGCCTTCCCTTGCTATTTTATGGCAACCCTAAAACTGCTTTTGCAGGGAAGCCATCTCACCGCGCCTGTACATTTCGTAACAATATAAACAGTATATCCAATTATGTGTCAATACAACTAGACAGGATTCCCAGAAAGCTTTGGGAAAGGAAATGTCGTAAAAATGTGAATTTCTTTCAATCTTTGTATGCATTGCCAAAATTCCATAAGTTCATAACATATGAAAATTAATCACAAATAACATTAGCAGACGTAAAACCAGTTATTATGTTGAATTATATTGTTATAAATATATCAGTTAATATGCAATAAATTTTTTAAATTATGTATATTGCTTAAAGAGTAATATAAAAATATAAATTTTTGCGAAATACTTTCATTACTTTTAAATCTCTGAATAATTAAGCAACTATTGTAAATTTGACATAACAAATTAAAGTTCTTATGCCAAGCTGAATTACAGTCTTCCAAGAATCTTGTATCTGTCAAACCACGAGAATGATAAATTAAAGGTCTTGCGCAAGAATAACACTTTCGAGATTGCACGTGGATGAATATCTCCTAGAGGAGCAAAGTAATTTAAGATAACGTCCAAAAAATTTAATGATTCCGCTGCACATGTTTCTGACATGAAAGTACAAAATCTACCCCCCCCCGAAAAAAAAACCTCATAACCTCACATTCCAACCATAATTTTAACAAAAAATTCAAATGATAAGTTGCTTTCAAACCAAATATATCAAAATCTAAAATTACATTTTCATTTCAATTTATTTAAACAAATTTTATTTCATAAATTTATAAATTATCAAATTTACGTAGCCAAAACAAGTCGAGTTCATTAAGAAAAAAAAAAACTTCATAAAATAAGATTGTGGGTTCAATAAAAAGTTAACTAGCTCTTACGATCAAACTACAGTACTACGCAGGTTCTGTAAGGTGAATTATCACCATCTAACTCTAAAACAAGCAAACAGGGAAATAAAACAACTTTAAATGTATTTTACCTTACCACTTGCGGAAAGCTAAATTAAAATATACAAAGTTACCAACCAAATCGACCTGGCTTAAACACGAGCTTCTTTACCAACTGCTATAACTTCAACAATTTAATTTAATCTTATTGGAGGCTAAAAGCTTCGCCCAGACCTCTATAAAAATTCCAGTGTTCCAGTATTCAACTTACCGTCACAAAACTATCCTTATCAACTCAAAAAGGGGTTATCAATGTCGAAATGGGATTTTGCGTCGGCTCACCATTAACGGCGAATCACTTTCCAAGTTGTTGCCACTAAATATTATCATCTTGTACTAATTTTAAAGAAATTAAGTAATGAAGAATCTGGATAAATGTATGTATATTCCTCGCATTGCGAAAAAACGACGGTACCAAGAGCCATCAAATTTTAAATAACATAGTCCTCCACCCGAATGTATGAAGTCCGAATTTGGAATTGGTTTTATTAGTTATTTTATATTTTGTAAATCTTTAATTAATTTTTGATTAACATATGCAACGGTTTGAAAACGAGCAGTGGCAATACTGTACGGAATAAAACATTTTGGTACTCTTCTGTTATCGGGACAAGATTCAGAAATGTATGTATGTTTGCACACGCATATAGAAACACATACATCCATACATACTGCATACATACATGCATTTCTGGATTTGGTCTCAATAACACAAAAATACCAACATTTTTACTTTTAGGGCTCGAGACTGTCTGTCGGAAATTCTAAAGATAGGCTGTTTTTAAATATTTTATGATTTTGCTGTTGAACTTAATTTTATGTGGCCTAAGGGCGAAAAACGTTACATTTAATAAATAAAATTAACACACAAAACGTTACTAATAAAGAGACAACAATAATTAAAAAAAAAAAAAAAAAGAAGAGGTATGTAAGCCATATTAACTAAGAAGACAGAACATAGATATGATGAACTCAGAAAAGACTGAAAAAAATATTAAAATGTTATGGCAACACGTAACCCTGCATTGGGAATTCTAAATATACGCTGCTTTCAAAATTTTTGTGATTTTGCTGTTGAATTGTAAATGGTGAAAATGCGAAGAAAAATATGCTTAATAAGAAAACTAAAAAAGGACACACATTCACACAAACACACCAAAAAAAGGGGGCTTAGCAGAAGTAAATGCAGCAGCAGATTGGTAAACTGCGAATTCAGCAAGAGAGTTAAAAACTTAACAAAGTCTTTCAGGAGATCGTTAAAATCTGAAACTTTTCAGATTTCTTCCACTATACTACTTAAATCAAGGCCAACACAAACTGGAACTGCCAACACAAAAAAATTTACACGGTAAGGCAGATTCAACGCTAGCAGGTCAAAACTCTCGCACACAACTAGATTTGTAATTTTCCAGATTTTATAATAAAACCTACTTGTCACCTCAAATATACATGAATTCTCGAATGAGCGAACCTCATGACGAAAAAAGTCTGAAAGAAAAGAAGTATATGAAATAACATTTTGTTAGTAAAATTTAAACTTTAAATGCCACAAAAAGGCCAGACAGTTCGTAAGAAATTTACAAATCCACCATAATCTTAAAATAAAATCTGTATTTGGACTAGGTCTCTCCATTAAAATAATGTCTTTATACAGTATAAAAAGTCAAATATCCTTTTAAACTACGATCCAACAATAATTCTGAAGCATAAATTATCAAGAAAATTATATTTCATGTCTATGAATATGTTCATCTGAAATTATGATGCTAGGCACCTGTAGCATAAAGTCTTATTTCTATTTGAGATAGAAATCTTAAATGCACAAAGTCTTATTTCTAAGCTGGTGTACCTCGGTTACATACATCGGTACCTCGGTTATATACAGTGTTACCTTGGTATGTGTATTTAACCCATTCCAGATTCTCTGGCGTACCAGATTGGAGGTACATCAAACGCACTTTTCCAGTAAGAAATAAAGGAAAAATAATTAATCCATTCTTATAAAAAATCTTATTGTTATTTTTATAACACTGTTTAATACTAAAATGCAAATGTAGTAGGTGAAATGACAATAATAGTTGGAATGCTTATGCCCTTGCATGAATGTACCTAAATGAAGCACTGCAAATGATGCTGTACATATATATTTTCTTACTGTTTATGATCCAAAGCAATTTTTTATTATGCAATAACGTCTCTGATCTTTGTTTGGTATTGTATTTCATCCCTTCGCAATGTGAGCCGATTTAATAGCGTCCTTCTCTTTCCACAGCCGCAGACACCATCGCACTCGACATATGGTATGGCCAAGTCCCGCATACGCATACTGTCTTTGGATTTTTTCACCTCCATTTTTCTTCTTTGCAACCATTTTCTTCGTTACCTTTCCTAAATTTCGTTGTTAAGGAAACTACAAAACAATTTCGTGAAATAGCGCGAAAACACTCGTTACTTCTAGCGTTCTAGCGAAACGCCGGTTGTTTACTGAATAATAGCAATAGGCGTACCGACGCTCATGGGCAATCATAGCATTGTCTCAAAAGAGGTAAACGAGTGTAGAACACGCAGGCATGACTCAACAAATTCGAATCGTATTCCAAAAAATATTGGGTACCAAAAAAAACTTTCATGTCCAAACAGGACATATACCAAATTCAATGTATTTCAAAGCGAACTTTATATAGTGGTACCGAGGAATAAAGAAAATTATCCTTCGTAAAGGAAATGGTATTTCATTAACTGAAGAATAGCAAAAGTAGTGAAAAAAGACATCACCTCATATGCGCTTATCAAGTAGATTTTAATCATTTATGCTTTCTGACAAATCATGCATGCATTTGCATCATAAGAATGGAATTAAAATATTTTTTCTTCTTTAAACCACTTTATTATCATTAGTCAGTGTGCTACTAATAGTATCAACAAAACATACTATTCTAAATAAGGTCAAAATAGCCGATTAAACAAGAAAGTTTCTAACTTATCCTGCGTTTCTCATCTCCAGAAAACTTCCGATTAATTTTTTCACTTATTGTACGTGTGTTTTATTACTTGATAGTTAACTAAAAAATGTCTTGTGGCTCTTCATTCAAGATAGCATCCCCTGAATAATCCCAACTATCACTGTCATTGACTTTGTTCACACTATGTGGAACAGGGAAAATCATTCAGGGTAAGTAATGCATGAATGCATCTACAGGTCTTCAGCATGACTGCTTTTCTGACTGGCCAATTCGTATGTCATCCGGGCATAAAGTTGAAAAGTTAATGCATTTAAGAAAAATTCTTGTGTTAGTTTCCTTGGAGTAAGAAAGTCTAGCTGAGTAGCAACGATGTTATGTTTAATGTCGGTTTAATACTAGTTAAATCATTGTGTAAATGTTCCCTTCAGAGACATTCTTTTTGCTCTCCCTAAAATTCCATTTGTCATCCCAGCCGAAAACACTTCAGGTTCAAAACTTCTGAATTGTAAAATTTTCATAATGGAAAAGTAGAATTTTATTGATTCTGTAGAATGAATCAGGGAAAACCAGTTAGGTTATTATTGTCACTACAGATTTTATTTTGGTCACTTTTGTGCACAAATGTGTTTCTAGTACATTATGAAGTCAAAATTACTCGTTTTTCGAAATATTTGACTGTAAGTGATAGACTGTAAACTACGTAAAAACTGTAAAATTTCCTTTTAACCTTCTTTAACAAGTATATTTTTTCAGAATTAAACACACATAGAAATTTTGAAAGGAAGCCATTGAAACCGCATTTTATGAAAATAAATTCTGTGATCCAAATATATCATAAAAATTAAATATTTTCGTAAATTGTGTAAGATCAAAATCTCATTAAAAATTCCATATAAAAGCAGAATCAAGTCTAATGTTGTTTAAAAATAGTTGAAAAATTGTAGCATTTTACGAAATATTATTTTTAATAGTTTATCATTCCTCATTTTCATCGTTGCTACAAGAGTGTATGTTCTTCGAAGGAGGTACAATAACAGTTCCATTTCTGTCGACACACCAGCATTCATCAGTGAGTTTATTGCACTGTAAGGGCGCATACGAACCATCCTTCCTGCATTTCGGCAATTCAGCATCCGGATCTGAAACAAAATAAATATTTTTTTAAAATTAGCTCAGAAAGTTTTCATTTTTTTAAACCTATGGCACCACATGGCTACTTTTATGAGTCACAATTACAGCTTAAGTTTAGGAAGTCATTAATCTATTTGCTAATTGATGGATATAAAATTCAAGGCTGAATTTAGAGAAGGATGGTTATAAGCAATAAAGTTCAGAACTAATGTCTTCAAAGTCAGAAATATTAAATAATCCAAAGAAGGAAGTAAACTGCACTTGATGTTTCCAACAGATTGGCACATAAGGGAATTTCAAGGAACTAAATAACACGGCTTGATGAGGTTTATTTTACATTTAACAACCTTCGATTCCAAATAAAAAGGTTTTTCTAACGATTACTTAGATTAAGTTAAAACTGAGACAATGAGAAAGAATGACTTTAATGACTTTAATAATGACTTTAATGACTTTAATAATGACTTTAATGACTTTAATAATAAGAATCATGCACCCAAGCAAATCCAGTTTTTATGAAATCTTTAAAAAATAAATGAAATGAAATTATTCTCGAAATCTTGCACACACTTTATTTTCTTAAAATTATAATATAGTATATATAGATGTTAAATGGCCGAACCAAGTTAACTTTTATATCTAAAGTGTAACTCCACAAATAGTTTGTATAATACCACAAGTTTTGTGCAAATGGATTTTTAAGAAAAGCGTTGAATTTTGATACAAATGAAAGATCTCTTGCGAGGAATTGGCTAAAATGCAAATGAAAACAAACCACCTGGCTGTTTAAATGGCGAAAGCTTAAACATATTTTTACGATAACTTCGGTTCTAAAATGGATTTTCACGTGGAGTCTGTTTTAATTAACTTAATTAAATTTCTAATAAGAGCCCAAAATTAAATTTCGGATTCTCTTTATAGATACTTGATAAGGTGAATAAAGAGAGAGGAGGAGGGAAAGAGATTCCCGATACTTATACTACGAAATAAATTTACATATCTGAGGTTAAGTCATTAGATCATTAAATTTATTTGTTATAACTATAAATTCGTTGTAAAGAATTTTGTTATAAATGGGTTCGGCTAGTTTACAATTTATTTTCAATAGGTTTCATTCTTATACTATCTGAGGCTAAAATTCAAGTCCAAGAAATTTAAAATATTTCTAACGTTCTAAATAAATAAAATGCTGAACTTTCTTCTGGGACATGAAAAGCACTTTCAATAATGAAAAATGAAATAAAATGACGGGAAAAACAGCATTTGTTTTCATCTCATTTGGGAAATGGGACAGAGGAAAAAATTCTGATATTGCTTCTGCAACTGCTGGTGTATTAATCGCAAAGCAAAATTAAAGTTGCTCAAAAACAAGGAAAATTTTTCGATATAATTGTATTAAGACAAGGAAAAAAATAACTTCCGGAATTATCTGGCTTTTAAATTCCTTAGCTTAGCAAAAAACAATTTCATAAGTTCCATCAAACAATATTAGACAAGCTCCATACGAAGAACACATTAACTGTGGACAAAAAATGTTGATATATTCCCCTCTCTTCTTTAATATTGTTAATTTTTTTTTCTGACACTAGTTGTTACGTTATTTTCTTCCTTCACGTTCGTACAGGGTTTGTGTGGATTTGGAGTGGATAACGACGACAGCACTTGATGGAATATCAAAACACACTTTATTTACCAATATTAATCAGGACAGCTCCAAAACACTTTTTATAGTCGTCGAATATAAACACGCTGGAACAATCAGCGACACAGCCTTCACACTGTCAGGCAATAACGGTGGAGACAGCTACACTGCAAAGCACCAGAGTACAGCTCCCGACTCTGCTCGGTCGTTCTCGGAACTCTACTTATTCTCGAGACTCTCCACGCTACAACTCTCGATGCACTCGACGACACACAGAGCACAGCTCCCGACACTTCGGTTCAGTCGTTCCCGGAGCTCAACACACTCTCTCGACGATGCACTAACCGCGATACACTAAGAGACTCTTTGGATGCACTCAACGACCCACTCGGCACTCGCTGCCCGGCTGTCAACTCTATCGACTCCGCACGAACTGACTAACTCGAGATTAACTATCTCGCACTGACTCGTGTACCAGCAGGATTTATATAGTTTTGGGCTTGTGTTCTGGGCTAAACGGTAAGAATTCGTTCCAGAAGGTTCTACATCCGTCCATGGCATATCGCCAATTTTGTCGCCTAATGGGCGATTTCTCGCCAAATGTGGCAACCCTGCCTTCCCTTGTCATTTAATGGCAACTCTAAACCTGCTTTGCGGGAAAGATATCTTACCGCGCCTGAACATTTCGTAACAATATTAAATAACTTTCTTAATGAATTTATAGTGCTCATAATGAAACTAAAAAATTATTTATTGTTCTTAAGTTAATTAAAAACAATTACTATTTAATCATTAATAAGGTAGTTAAATTCATTAGTTATTAAATAATTTTAAAGTTTATTCATCTAATGTTCAAAATCATAGAATTTTGAAGACAATATTAACGTCAAACTTAGCAACGAAATCATCAAGAGAAGCCGAATAATCGTCTAACTGATTCATCGAGAACCTTCGTATCTAATTAACATTTTAACCTGCAGTGTAAATTGTTTCTCATAATATTAGCTAGTAAATAAGAACTAATATGAAAATAACACTTATTTAAATTATTTACAAGTGAAATAAGATATTATTTGTAACAGAAATTTTGTTGAATTTGTCTGATTAGGGCAAAGCACACTAGGACATACTATAATGGGGCTGTGCTTTAGTGGCAGGTTCAGGCCGGGCAGCACATAGCCTCAAACATGAATAGCGCCTGTCATTAGAGTTTTTCTAAAAACATCTAGCTGTCACGCAGATCGAGTCAAGACTTGCCATTACCCGTATGGTCACTACCGCGCCTGAAGTCTAATCATGTTGCTTCCGTTCTTATTCATAAAAGGGACTAGGGAATTGCACCATATTAAATTATTATGACAAAGCACACTTGGACTATCTGCCTTATTTGTAAAGGTTTCATTTTTACTATATCGTTTAATTTTAATTTAATTTAGTAAAACTTAAAAATTAAATTTACTAAATTTAATTTAGTAAATTTAATTTTAGTAAAACGCCTTAGAACTGTATTACATTGTTTGATTACGGCAAAGCTCGCTAGGATTATTTGCCTTATTTATAACAGAAAGTTTATTGTACTACTTGATTATAGCAAAGCACACTCAGATTATTTGCCTCACTTGTGACACGCATAAACTCATCTCATTTCGAGATTATAGTATAAGTCTCTTAAGCATACTCCTGTGAACAAGGTAAACTAAATTTCCAGTCGAACGAAGTTAATCCATATGCTATCAATCTTATGAATCCATATCCTGGTCGGACGGCTGTCCTGGCAATTTCGGAGCAAAGTTAAAAATGATCTTCCCCAATGTATTTTTATGATATAAAAGAGAGATATTATTAATTTTGATTAGAAACAACATTGGTATTTTGGATATCCGGTATCCGTTGAATCAACACCACCAATCTATTGGAATGAGTTAAAACTAATTCATATAAATTAATGCGTTAAAATTGGGAATGGGTATTAAAATATATTTTCGATGTCAGCAGACAGCAACAGGTAAAATAGATTTTTTTTCCTGCTTCCGCGAGTGTTGTTTGGTAACTGAATTCAAAATGGCATCAAACATATTATTATCCTCATCTGTTTCGATTTCTGTGCGATCTCTACAAAATATGACATCTCTCAAACGAATATCCAGTTCCTATTCCAACGTTGTTAACATTGTAACTTTATGGTATATCTTCCATCAGGTACAGTTTCACTTGGTGAGAACTGAAACATTTGCTATTTTTGGGCGAAATACGACATGCTTGGAAATGTTGGATTGTTTCCGCTTTATCTCGAGGAAAATCTAGTAAATCCGTGATGCTAGCAACAAAAATCCGCAATGAAAATTATGAATAACAGTTATCCGGAGACGTTCCGCAGGAAGAGGGTTTACAATGTAGATTTGTGTTTGCTTTAATAAGTCTGTTGTTCATGTTGAAATTTAAAAAAAGATCATTAAAAAGAAAAAAGAAAGAAGTAGATAATTACTTTATTATAGAAAACAAATTGCAACAGCTTAAAGTATTGCCAAATGCTTATAGGAATCAGTCACAAGTGGTATTTTTGTTAATGTGTCAGCAGGTACTAGCTAATACACAGGCATCACAATGAGTATTTATGTAGTATATGATTGTATCTAAACTGAAGACAAATAGCACATCTTCGAGGTGTTAAATAAGGAAAAGACAAAATTAACTCCTAAAGAGAGTACTAAACGTAGTTAGAACTTGCATTAAACTAGGAAATACAATAATTTTCTTCTCGTGAAAGAGAATTGTTTATTTCTTTGTAACCATACTTAATTTTTGATTAATTTTGAAGTCGTTGTCAAAAGTAATTAAATTTTAGTAGTTATTAAAGGTAAAATTGATTAGCATTTTCTTAAATAAGCAATTTGAATTTAACATTATTCATTTTTTTAAAATGCAAATTACGGTGTGGATTCCTTGTAATTAAACTCTTCTATAGATTTATCCATCGTTGACAAAAATTATTTTTAAGAATACCTTTCTCTAAATGATTGTTTACGAATATGAAGACGGAAACATACTATTTAATAAATTAATAACTTAAATTTAGAGGAAATCCGAATGTTCTATTTTAGTTTAAAATTACATTCCCTTGTTTTATTTCTAATCAAGGAGAAAATTAAAAAAAAAAAAAAAAAAAAAAAACTCTTATTTATCATCTGATAAATATTTCCCAAAAGACGAATTGCAAATATGCATTAATGTGCATCTGTAAATCATTATTCTCAATAACAAAGAGAAAGAAGGAAATAAAATTCAGAATTTAATTACTTGTGCCATTCAACAAAGGTAAAGACTTTTTAAAACTGGTTTAAAGGCGAGAAAACAGGAATATACTTTATTTCATTTTCTGCTTATACATAACTAACAAATTGAAATTTCAACGGACATCTTTAATGAGGAGCAAGCTTTGAATTACTGGTAATTGGCAGATAAAACTGAATTGTGTCAGTTAACAAATGCTTTTCTTTGTTGTAAAAAGAATGTTTTCTTTTGTTTAAATAAAAATATGCAGAACAGTGTATAATTAATTTTCACATCTAATTTCCACTTGCTCGAAACTAAGAAAAAACTAATTAATAGAATGGAAAGGAAATTGGAGAAAATATTTTATAATAATACATAAATTTTATTACTTCACAAGTTTGGTAAAGCAAACCAATTTTCACAGACTATGAGAAAACATTTCTTCATTCTCCACGAAACTGATGATTTTTAGATTATTAATTATTGATTACTATCAATATACTTTAATAATCCCATAAATTTGAACATATTTTTTAAAAAATCCTATAAATAATTAACATAAACAATAAAGGAGATCGCCCAGAATCTGGATATCTCTCAAACTCTTATACTTCATTTTAAACAGGGAATCAGTTAATAGACAGACTTGTTAAGAGCAGCTACGAGTAAAACTGAATCCAAGGACCATTATCTGTCCTTTTTCTCTCAAAATAGCTGTGAAGCAATTACAAGAGAACTTATTTTAGACATAATATAAGGTATTTCTCCCGCCTTCTTAGCGAGCCTTCGTGGTGTAGTGGTCTGCACGCTCAGCGCGTAATTGAGAGGTCCGCGGTTCGATTCCCGGCGAAGGCGTTGCTAATTTTTTGTCTTGCCCTCTTCCAAAAATACCGGATGTCTCTACAATACAACCTACCGCAGGAATTCGAGTCAGCTGTTTTGCTGCTGTACGAAGGTTTCACAAGGTTGGACTTTATGCAAGAAGTACAGCTTCGTCAACCAACGCAAATCATGGGACCAATGGTTTGTGTCCCACTCATTTAATCTTTCAAAGAGCCCCATTTATGGTGGTGTTGTTATTATTTTCAATAAATCAAACAGCAGTGGGACAGTATACTGTTTTACGATGTGTCCAGACGTAGTATGAAATGTAATTCTAAAACTGTTTGGGTTTGGAAAGAACGAGGAACGTGCAATTCGCCTTCTCTCCTTTTTGAAAAATCCTATAGATCACAGGATAATTTAACTGTCACAACTGGCACAAGCAGCCAGTTTAAGCCCTTGTATGAATGCTCCCTAAGATACAATTCCTAACTAAATTGAATCTCTGGAATCTAAACTAGCATTTAAGTTTATTCTCCTTAAAAAGGGTCTCATTAGTTAAGTAGGTGAGGAGCCTAGAAATCTTCTTGCGTTCATTTCCTGTCTGCAGAACACGCTAGTTGCACCAGTCTTCTGGTAATGTTCCTCAGTCATAGATACAGAAAACGTTCAATCGTCCGGCATCCATATGTTCGGTATACCAGATAATCCAGCAACCCTTTCACTGACTTTTTTAGCGTAAGATGATGTTACTAAATAGCATTTCATTCAAAAATATTTGTAAATAATTCGAAAGTTTCTTCATGTATTTTTGCCATTTTCAGTTGTCTTTCGTTCAGAAACTCTGATCAAACTTTATATATCATTTGTTTTGACCAACCTTTCTGAGTTATTGATAACAATTGAAAGATTTCTTTCGAAAGATCAATTAATAACTCTTTCAGGACACAAAATTATTGAATGTATTGAAAGTGATAAAATGAACAGCGAAACAACGAACTCACTGTAGAAGAGTTAAACAACGAGTAGCTAAAGAAATAAAACCGAACAGAGCAAGATTCAATTAACACCACTTTGCAAACACATTTGTGATAAAATGCAAATTTCGCCAAAAAATCTAAAACATATAGTATTAAAGTAATAATGATATACATATTTTCCGAATTTTATTATTACTATTTGATAAAGAGCGGAATTTATGAAGCAAGTAAATACCCAAAATTTATTTATAATTATTATATGCGCTGGCAATATGACTTGGAATGAAAGATTACTCGAAAGCAAAATTGATTATATATAATTAAAAAATGAATTTACACTGTAGGTAATTTTTTTCATTGCTCGAGTCATTCAATAACGTTCATTTCGAGAATTATACAATTTTAATCCGATAATCTGGCGTGCGTGAAGTTCCGAACGTGCCACATTATCGAATTTTTTCTATACAACGTAAATTCTTTCTGAAAAGTTCTACATAAAAGCATCCTTACAGGCATTTTTACTTACTGTGTTCGAAGATATTATATTGAGCCAATAAGCAGACGCAGGTCTTCACGTTCAATCCGAAACCAGGAAGTGTCAATGGAGAACCGTCTGGAGCAACGCACATGCAGGTGTCTGGATATTCTTTGTATTCATCGAAGCATTGCAGGTCCTGAAATGTTCCATCCTTCTGGCATTTAGGAATCATCCAACGGACATCGGGATCATTCAACATTTTTTCCCTCGCTTTAGGGCAGTCTACCCCAGCTGAAATATAATGTATGTAATAAATAGAAGAGAAACTTTCATCAGCCTCATACACAGCATAATAATTTGCAAAATTTTTCAGTGCCTTTATTTTTTCAGAGCTTCATTTTATGTGATATTTTTTCAGTTATAATGATAATAATAATAAATAGAAGGCCTGATAACAGAAAGAAAGCAATAGGGATTAAAAATGCAGATGAAAATGTAAAATATGAAAAATAGATAAATAATAAAGCTATAAAGAATTCAAATTAATGAAGGGGGTAAGGAAAGCATTTTATTACGAAACGTGTAACACAGAAGCTGAGTAGAATAAAAGGGTGCAAAACATTTTTGCAACATAACTTCACATAGTTATATTCAACAATTTCACTGCAAAAATAAATTTAGGCTAAATTAAGCAATTACATTTTTAACATCAATGTTAGGATTACAAGTGTTGAATATAATTTCAGAAATTCTGAATAGAATTAAACTTCCACTCAATGTTTGAAAAGAAAAGCACTTTAATGTCTAAAAGATGCCCGTATTAATAACGCATTTTATATAATTTAAAAGCATTGTTATATGTTTATAAAATAGTCGTCCTTTTGGCAAAATAATTTTCAGCATTTCCCTTAGGACTTCGTTATATACACGTAATGACGTAGGAAAGTTGATTTGCGTAGATATTGAGATGTTGATCAAAATTGAACAGCAAACCTGAAAACCAAGGCAGATTAAATATTCCTTTTTATTTTCGTAGACATTAGTGGCCACAATTCACTTGACTCTCTAATCGCGCCTGATTCAATACATTTACGTTTTTAATAGCTTTCTGGTAAGAAGAGCAGCAGCAAGCAGCAGTCTACATTCTCTGAGAAGCAGAAGCAATGTGCTTAGTTATCCAATACGGCAGCATATTAAGAAAAAGGTTTCGGTTCAGGAAATTTTACGTTCTGAATTAGCTACATCATCATCGTAATGTAAAAGTCATATGATATGAATTAGTCTAGAAACGACGCAGTGCAGAAAAAGTTATTACTACTTTTAGAATAGAGAGTAAAAATACTAAATTAAAATGAGTAATTAAGGGGCTGTAAGATAAAACTTAGGTAAAGCAAAATTATAATTTTAATTAGCAATATGCCCTGTAACTTCGGGATAGACACTTGTTCGGATATATACTGCCTCGTATAAACGGAACTTAACATTCTCAGTTTCGCGATGAATTGCATTTTAAGGCTGTTAATGTCAGGCAGGGTAGAACATTAAAATATCCGTCCACAGACACCCAGGTAAAACAAGTACTGCACTAGATCTGGAGAACTGGATGAGAGCGCCTAAATACTCGTATCAACAAACCACTAGAGAAATCGCCTGAGGAGTAAAACAGAAGCTTTTTATGAGGATATTTAAAAACTCTAATTTACATTCAAACCCTATCAGATATTAACAACTTTAAAATGCAATTTTCAGAAGTTTTCACAGGTTATTTTGGACACTTTACATCGGGTCATGATGTACCTGGAAGATGGCAGCAACCCCTTGTTTGTTTGGAGGACATATCCATCACGTTGCATATTGAAGAAGTGGGACCAGTTTTATAAATCCAAGCCACTTATTTGCCTAACCGTGTTCAGTTGCATTTATAGTATGTACAATAAATGTATTAACGTACTTTATAAATGGGAAACTTTAAAAGAAATATTGCAGCTTTATAATATCGCACCTGAAGTATTTCCTCCTGACACTCTACGTTTCGTCACAGCAAGTGTACCTAGAGAGGAAATGCCTTGATACCCATGAAGATATCTCCAAGAAGTCATATTCAAGCATGTCTTCAGAGCTCAGGCCTGAGTACTGATTTCTGGAAAAGCTGACATTAAACTTTATCCTTTTTGCAACTAACCAGAAACATTACAGATTTAACTTTCGCAGGTGATGTTACAATTTTTGTCATCTGAAGAGGAATAAGCAAATTACAAGACCACGTTAGCGCAGCTATATAATTTTTTAACTTCCACTGTAAATGAAAAAATTGTAATTTCACAGGAGAAATCTGAAAGACCTCACAGACTATTCAAAAGAAAGCACTTACACATTAGACAGAAACAAATATGAAAATATTCTCGGCCTTCAAATTGATAACAAAATCACTTGGATCTCTCATTTAGAATGCATGATATACAAAACGATAAATATTTCCAAATCTCTTTTCAGAATGCAAGGCCATAGCTGGGGATTTAATCCCCATATTCAGCGTGTACTATTTAAAACAGTGATAGAAAAGATAATCGCCTACGTATCATCAGCATGAGCATCGCGCATGATTTAGTGGAAAAAACTATACTTCGTACTATTCAGTACCCCCTTTGTTTTTTAATTCAGCAAAATAAAATAGTACCAAATGCAGAACAATGTCAAAAGCTTTTTATATATTGACAGAGATCTCTATGTAACTGCAACGGAATCTAGGATGACAAATGTGCTGTGAACTGCAGGAAGAAGTAAAACAACTAAGGGATCTGCTTTATCTAGTAAATTATGAACATCAAAAATACTGATTCCTCTTTTCAGCTACCAAATTTAATATCAAGACTTGAGCTTAAGGAATCAACATTTGAAATTCCCTCATACCAGCTATGTCTAGAGATGGCTCGAACTCGATAGCGAAGCAGGTAGCGTCTTTGTACTATACAACAACAGTATAAATAGCTCACAAATGAAAGGCTATCTGCACACGCAAAACAATTTCAGGCAGAGCTGATAGTTTCAGCTACATAGTTTCAGGCAGAGCTGATAAATGTGAAATAAAGTGTTAGCTTTGCCGACTCTACTAGCATCTCCTAACTTAATACCCCGTCGGACCGCCTCCCTATACCCAGCATCATAGCAGACCTTCTATCAATAGTTCAACAAGTACACTACTTTTTTACCGAATAACAATGAAAAAATATATGTTTGTTGGATCCAAAGTCTTATGATGCAAGAAAGCAATGAACAAGCAGATTCCCTTGCCAAAGAGGCTCAGAAAAAGCCGCTAATGTTAGTATCCAATGGCAAAGTTGCATATCAAAAATATAATTAATTTTTCCTTAAGAAATGTTTGGAAAAATAAATGGGACACTGCAAATCAAGAAAGACGCAGCCATGAGCTTATTTATTGATTGATGGCTCAAAATGCTACATTAATTTCTATACCAACCAGTACATTACGAAGAATGGTTCCTTTCCCATATATCTGGGCACAGGAAACCTAATAAGCAACTATCGACATGTCTGTGAAAAAGAAAGAAGGCATCCTGACCATTATACATTTGCATCCCCACTTAATCAAGACCTCAGCAGTCAATATAAAAAAGATTTAATAAGAATAGATCTTTCAGGAAGAAAATAATAGACTTGATGACTTGATAAGAGGAATTCCCGGCTTAAGAAGATATATATTTTAAACTAGAAAGCTAACTAACTAATTCTCCAAAATCTGCATCTATTAGAAAACATAGACACAACCATTGCAGTTCACCTTTTCGTAATGGACTCATTGAGCATCCAAAACATAAAAACCATGAACTTTCCAAAAGTAACGTTTCACAAAATAATCAATGACTACTTGCAAACCTAATATTTTGGTGGTACTAGTGCCTTCACTTATGACTCCCTACCTGCATTTTTTTCCAACAAGCTTTGAAAGACCCATAGACGAACCAAGCTTTGAAACTTGGTTCGTCTATGGTCTATAAATTTCAATTTACTACTGCTTATATGTTGCGAATTTTGTTCTTTATTTTAATTACTGTGCTTTTTCATATGCCAGAACTTCTCGTCGTCAGCAAAAAAACTATGATCTTTAAAAAAAGTATGTATCTTTTTATTTGCTTCATTTATTTAATTTTATGTATTTTGTATTAATATATTTTATTAAATATTGTTATGTATTTTGTTTTATGTAATATTATGTATTTTACATAATTTGCATATTTTATATTTAATTATTATTTACGTATGCATTATAAGTTATTATGTAGGTATTTCTATATTTTTATGTATTTTTTGTATATTTATTATTATGCATTTTGTAGAATGTTTTTTCCCTATATTTCAGGTGTATTATGTCATAGTTCCTATGTTCGTTCAAATTTATTCTTTTATCTTAATTTCTAATACGTATTTCATATTTCTAATACGTATTTTTCTGATACGTTCTTAAGTACTCTTTTATGTTAAGTTCTAGCACGTTATATAGGTATTTCTATGTTTTTATGCATTTTATTTTGTATATTTTTATTATGTATTTTGAACAATTTTTTTTCTATATTTCACATATATTATGCCATAGTTCCTATGTACGTTCAAATTTGTTAAGTACTCTTTTATGTTAATTTCTAATACGAATTTTTACTTATCTTGATGCTAGGTAAGATAATGTTCTGCTTAAAAATATGTATAATGATATGAGCTAGTACTATTCATGTAAAACGCAATTGAAATTAATGATATTGATAACTATGGTTATGCTAAATTTGTATTACTGTTGTAATGAAACACTGCAGAATCTATGCATGCAATGTTTACACTTTCTAAAGTATCTATTTTATTATTTTTCTTCTTATATTTATCTGCCTTTTTTCCCCGAATAAAACTTCCCACTGGGGTAACATAGAAATCCGCACGGCTCGACCTAAGACGACCTAACAGTCATCTTGGCAGTGTACTGTTAATTAACCTTGAGAATTTTAAAATTTCTGTTAAATATTAAGCTTACTTACGATATCCTGGAAATTCCCAGCACATCACAGCTGGTAGGATACAGAAAATGGCCTGAGAAAAATAATAAATTCGTTAATTTCTTTTCAGGATATCACGACTTTAGAGAATTATTTAAAAACTGTACTTTCATCATACTGAAAAGAGCTGTAGAAAGCAATAAAACAAGAAAAATATTCAAAATTTTTAATAATTAGTTATATTAATATTGTTGTTTCACAAACTGTACATAAATGCAAAGCTATAACTATTAATTTGGATGTATATAAAAAGGAGTTTTAATTGCAAATTGGGAATTTTTAATTGCTATTACGTACATTATGTGTTTTTTATTACACATAATAATTACATATTTTTTACTACGTATTACGCACGTGAGGTCTAGAATTTTAACGCTGCAGAATCTATGCATGCAATTTAGAATTAATATGCATGCATGCACTATGCATGCAATTTAGAATCAAAATAGGAAATTAGTGAGAAAAAATAAAGAAAGTTATTTTTTACTCAAATAGTTAAGTTTTTTATTGAAGAACCATGGAAAAATTACTACACAAACTATCTCGAGTAAAACCAAAATATCTATGGAAAATAGAAAAGAGAAATGTGCGTGAAATAATAGCAGTAAAAAAGATGACGGCTCAATATCTGGGAGTTATTTTTAACTTCAGAAGAATATTCAGTTTAATTAAATCACAGGAAACGTGTGAACACTGTTGAATCATCCACAAGATATGCTCATCGAATTTTAAAAAAAAAAAATCTGGAAAAATAAGTTAAATCAATTTAAATTTAAAAAGGCCTAAATTACTTTTTTACTCGAGTTTAAATTCAATGGCGTGCTGTTCTCTTGTAAATACTGCTCTTCAATGTCATTTTTGTTAGCTTAGTTTCTTCTTTCTTAATGCTTATACTTCTGCTGCTTGCAATATGTTCTTTTAGTTTTGAATACTGATTAATTACTACCAAAGCTTAAAGTACTTGAAAACTGAGATAAGTTATTTATAGCATTTTTCTGTTAATTATAGTACGGATTATTCTTCTTTCCTACGTTCTATCATTTGCCGTCCGATTAATCGCGATTTTAAGTTAACTATGATGTCGTGCCCGGTAAGTTGTGTCTGATAAATCGAGAGATGCTACATATTTGAATGTCGTCATGCTACATATTTGAATATTTAACGTCAAATATGAACGTCCTCTTTTTGGAGGAAGAGGGGCGGAGGGCTAACTACAGCCTACAGTACTTATGCTTGAAAACATGTTTAAGCATGTGTCCCTACTTAGACCTAAGTACTTAAGTACTTATGCTTTAAATACAATTTTACATTTTCAACACTATTAGCAAGTCCTAATTTCATTCTAACCATAGCTGCATTGATTCAAATAATCTTAAAATAGTACTTACCACAATACAGAGGGATTTCATGCTGAAATTGATGTCTTTTATTTCTGTAAAAAAATTTAATAGTACTTGATAAGTCACACATATTATTTAATAAATCATCACAAGCTACGAAAGGTTTGCAGTCTTTAAAAAATTCGGATAATTGATAACTCGACTAATAGAGAGTAATTTTTTGTCATGCCAGTTTTGTTTTGAGAAAGTTTTTTTTAATTGTATAATTATTAAGATTTTTTTAAAATTTTATATTTCACTTAAAATATGTTTCTTTCAATTAAAAAATAATCCACAGAAGATTTTATTTCGTGACAAAAATATTCATGAAAAAAGCTGGAGTAAGCAAATATCCAAGAAATTTTGATGGATGGGAAAATTTTCTCAAATTTCTTACATACATTTTTACGAGACCTTATTTTTTTAACTGGGAAAAATTTTCGTTTTGTGTGATCCTATAGTTCTATCAGCTACCTAATTATCATATCAGTTTTTATTGTAACCTTAGGTTAGGTTATTTGAATATGGCAAAGAAAAGCTGTCTAAGGGAAGATATGCCTTCGCGGAGGACTTTTTAAAGAAAACTGATTTGTGTTTACTTCATACCTAGGGAAAACCAACCATGCAGCCAACCTCTTCGCCAGAGTTCAAGCTCGAGTCGAACTACCAGTATTCAGCGCTCTGATCCGTAGTGTGACAAAAGATTCGGAGGAGAAGCATCCGGATATCGTTTTAAATGTTTAAGAGTTTGCTCAAGACGCCGCTTTAAATGTTTAAGATCTTTACTATATTCAACTCCTATTATTGGTACTCTAATTCAACTCGGGCTCAAGTCTCGCGGAAAAGGCTAGTTGCGTGAAAGTTTTCATGCTTTTCTGCATAAGTAATACATACGTGAGCCCAATTTCATTTGGCTAGATGGCTTCCCCGAAGACATACCTCTCCTTTAGATAGAGAGCAATGATGTATTTTGTCATTAAAAAATAAATAAATAAATAAATAAATAAATAAAATAAAAAACCATGACTTCGGCATGGCTGGTTTTGTCATTTTTCGTTCCATCATCACCCTCACCATCACTTCAGGTTTTATTATTCTCTGGATCTATGCCGTGAATGATTTCTTCGTCACTCAAAACTTGAATATTTGGTTCGAGCTGTTCTATTTATCCATTCCGAAACATCATCCCGCTACCCTTTGAAACATACTGTGTTCGAATTAGTTGTCAGTTAGCATTACTTTCACTTTTAATATGTGGAAACCACACTTTTTTACACTTAATGCACACTAGAAAAAGTTGCTAAATTATCTATTACTGAAAAGATCAGCCAAGAGATCAGCCAGTGATAAAATTCGCGAATTAAACTGATTTTTGCTGTATCCTTTCTAATATTATGACAATTTCCCTATCATTTCATTAAACTGATTGCCGGCTCGGTTAAGGAAGTCTTCGGCTGATAGAGGTCAACAAAGGCTCTATCTATCTATATATAATGAATATAAAAAATATTTAATTGAATAATTGCAATAAAAATTAATATTAACTTAAATGTGCCCAAAGCAATAATCTAAATTAAAGACGAATGATATGGTAAAATTAAAAGGAAAATTTTAAATTATGCGTGAGTGAGGAATTTGGAAGTCAATTGCAACTTCTCATAAAGAAGAAACGGTTAGTTAAGCCTTATAACACTTTTAACGCGAAGACGGAAGAGACGCGTGAATCAGAATAAAAGTTCAAATTCTATGCACGCTTGTTGAAATAAACGCATAAAAACATAAAAAAACTTTATATATGCAAGGAATTCAGACTTTTTGTGTTTTATTTTTATTTATTTATTTGAAAAGAGAGTTTGGGGATATTTGGATTTATTTATTTAGAACTTTTGCTAATATAACTATAGGAAACTGCGGATTATAACAAAAGTTAGATTTTCATATTTTTTATAAAGTTAAACTTTTAAACTTAAAAATATTATAACATGAATACTTGCATCATTGGAAATACATTTTGTAAAGGTAAGTGTATGTTTTCGACCAACGGCTGCAGAAATGAAAGCCGCTTAATAGGTTTTTATGGACTAAAATGTATATCATTCTTCTCGTGAAACTTTTCTCCAACATCTGTTCAATCAAATTTCACCGATTTCGGATAATCAAAATTAGTCTAAAATCAAACAGCAATTACAGTTCAAAAGCAAAAAAAGAACATACTTTTGTTTCTTTTCAAATATAAATCGTTTTACTCGTAATGGAAATTAACTGTTCCTTTTATTATATATATTGCAGAAAATAATTTCACGCATATTTTAATAAGATCTTACATTTACAAAAAAAAAAAAAATTCTTTTAAGCAGGCATTTCATATTTCAGTTCCAGTTACTCACCTTTCTTCTAACGAGATTCAAGGCTGTTGTAATTGTAGGGATCTAGAAAAAATCATTAAATTTGAGTTCAATATCAGCATATGTTTCTCTCCCACCCTATCAGTGGGTGATAAAACTTTCATAGTTTGTTTATCAGCTTAACCAAAAGACGACTTTTTTGTCTGCTACTTCTTGAATATAACCTTGAAATTATTGCCAGGGATAATTTTTTTTAATGGTGTAATATAATTCGATGAAGAAAGACTGCAGCTGTTACGTTGAAATTAAACTGATAAAACAAACTTTTCTTTGTTGTTGTTGTTGCAAAGGCTTTTGGAGGAAATACATTTTTTATTTTGAATCTTTAGTCACTGAAATTCGGGGTTTTCCTTAAAGTTTAAGAAATTTAAATTTATAGCATAAAAATGAAAGCCACTTAAAATCCTCCCTCGGCAGCTTTTAACTTCATTGATAGAGCTCGAAAAAAGCTAGCGGTTATTAAAAGACTCGCAAGAATAAAATGGTGTTGTGGAAGAGAATAAAACATAGAATTTATACATCAAACCATTAATTTGCTATTTTTGTAAAACCCTGATTACCTGCAGGAATAGAAAAGTTTCAAAACTTGAAGTATTTCGAAATAAAGCCCTGAGTCTGTTTACTGTAGCTGTGAGAAACACTCGAATACAGACAATGCTTGTCCTCACAGCCAATAAACCATTGGAGAAAATTAGTCAGGAGAGAGCTTTAATACTATACGAGAAATTAATCAGATTGCCATTGACAGAAACATCGAGAAACTATGATATCTCCAGACTTAGCAGATTGAAGACCCAGGATGGATTTTTGTTGAAAGTCTTAAAATTGAAATCAGACTGCTCTTTCCTGGATGTTCCCACAGAAAGATGGCTGTGCTTTCAAAGCGTTTTGCATTCTATTCTTCTCTTTTTATATTTCAAACCAACATCGATGGAGAACTGGAGGCAAATAAAAGTTGCAACTGAACAATATTTTGTTAGAACAATTCAACACAAAAATGTTGTAATTTTTCAAACTCCCTTTCAACCATTCAAGCGATTTCTGCATATAATGTCGCGGAATAAAAATTTATTGAATCTTGCAGAACGCTTTTACTTCTAGCCTCAAAAAGGATAACTGTTGTTTTACAGTGGATTCCTGCTCATGTTGGGAATAGCTGTCAACGAATGGGCTGATAAACTACCAAAAAAAGGAACTGAAATTTTGCAATCAAATAATAGTGGGCTACCATTTATATCAATGACAGATATAGTAAAAAGAGCTATGTGGAAAAATTTTGATATTAAATTACTTGAAGAAATTAGGAATAAGAAGTGGAGGGATTCGATTAGTAATATCCCGGACTCTCCCAGATCCATCGCAATTGCGACGCTCTGTTTGTCCGACGTTATTGTCTCGTTAAATATCTGCACTGCATTGTTATATATGATGGTTTCTTGTGCACTTTGCGCAGCCAGAATTTTAAGATGGACAGAGATCATTTGCTAAAATGTTCCTCGTTGAAGGAAAAAAAAAAGCCTACACAGTCAATATTGGCGAATTAGAGATTTGATGCAGTTAACATCCAGCAATTAAATATTTTTCCTTCCTTTTCCAGTTTCGATGTATGTATTGTAATGAGGTTAATTACTGTTTTTCCCTTTTATATTTTGCCCTTTTTTATTACTGTTTTGCCCTTTGTTTATTTTTTTTATTTGTATTTTTTTCATGCTCCAGTCTCATGCATCTTTGATACATGAGAGCCAATGATGTATAATCAAGTGCCTTTGCAATAAAAAAAAATTTCAATTTAATTAAAGTACACATTGTTCAACCTCGTTGTGCTTCAGAAGGATTCTCGTCTATGCACTTAACTAGTAGCCAGAAACTCCAAGAACACAAATAAAAAGTAAAATTTAGCTTTTTTAAAAAAGGTTTATTAATTCTACGTGCAATGGATAACTGAATGGGTACTACGTCTTCTACAATTGAAATTTAAAAAAAAATTAAAACCCTATCCACCACTCTTTATGGAGTCTTAAAAATAGTGTTACGAATTTGGTATTTAAAAAGCTAATATTAGTTCAATTATAAATAAATTAAATGGTTTTATTTCTCGCGCAGTGCAGCGAGTGACGAATATTAAAACAAAGCTAAGCCGGAAAATTGAAAATACAAGAGCGCGTGCATTAAATAAATAAATATCTCTTTTTGATTTCGAGAAAGTACCAGAAAATTCTAGCGCGTGATTTTAAAATCTTATAAAAGGAGGAAAACATCTCAGTTCGTAGTAGTTGCTTAGTTTTTTGTTGTTTAGAAAACTGCTCTTGTGGATTATAGCGAATTCGCGGATTAGCGTTCTTTAGCTGTTTTGAATTACGTTCTATTGGATATTTGAGTAGTTAAAAGATAACTACTGTGAGATATCGTAATACTGCATGATAATTTGAGAAAATTTAAGCATTTTTGTTGTGATAATAATAAATTTTTATTCATTTTTCATCGGACTTGTGCATTCATTTCATAACGAACCCGTAAGCACCCAACAATTTTTGGTGTCAGGAGTGGGGTATTGAATGCCAATCACAAGAGCGATGGAAGAACAGTTAAAACAATTCATGGCAGCCTTTGCTACATTTAAAGAAGAGATGAAAGACTCTGTTAAAGAAGAAATTAGATCCGTTAAAGAAGAAATGAAGTTGGGCCAGGAAACCGTTAAAGGAGAAATGAAATTGGGCCAGGAATCCGTTAAAGGAGAAATGAAATTGGGCCAGGAATCCCTTAAGGAAGAAATGAAAACGGCACAGGAACAGATGAAATTGGGCCAGGAATCCGTTAAGGAAGAAATCAAAACGGGACCAGAAGAAATGAAAGAAAAGATGGAAGCTAGTCAGAAAAAAATGGAAGAATCCGTTAGAATAGAGATGAAATCTATTAAGGAAGAAATGAAAGTAGGTCAAGAGGAATTGAAGAGAGAAATTAATTGCATAATAGAAAACAAGTTCCAAGCTATGGAAGGAATAATGGATTCGGTTGAAGACAAAGTTGGAGAAATTCAAGAAAGAGTTTCTGCGGTAGAGCAACAAATTGAAAAAAGAGTTTCTGCCGTCCAACAACAAATTGAGGAAAGGGTTTCTGCTGCTGTTGCAAAAGAAGTTGACACTTTAAAGAAGGGCATAGCGACAGAAGGAAGGAATTCTGAGGGTTTTAAATTCTTACCGATGCTTGCTCGTCCATCTCTGAAGTTATCCACATATGATGGGAAGACATCCTGGCAAGTGTATAAGACCCAGTTTTCTATCGTTGCGGATGCGAATAGATGGGATTCCCAAGCTAAGGCCTGTCATCTCGCCGCTTCTCTGAGAGCAGGCGCAGCGGATATCCTGCAGACGCTTCCCGAAAATCAAAGGCTGAATTTCGAAGCTCTATCCGGCGCTTTGGAGCTGCGCTTCGGGGAGAAATGCCTGAAAGACTAAAGTAGGCTTCAATTAAAATACCGCCAACAGAAGCCAACCGAAACACTTCAGGAGCTCGCCACGGATGTTGAAAGGCTGTCATATCACGCCTTTTCGGAATGCCCGACAGAAACAAGGGAAATCCTGTCCCTGCAGTACTTTATCGATGGCATCCGTGATCCCGAAATACAGAAGGCTCTACGAATGGCGGATGTTAAAGATTTAAAAAGCGCTCCAGTGTACGCCATTGAAATTCGAGGCAGCCCAGCAAGCCACTCGTCGAGACCGCCACCCAATCAGAGCTGCTCAAGTGCAGGAGCCAGGGGATCAAGTCACCGCTCATCTAGACGATTTAACTAGACAACTGAATGCTTTAAGACGGAATAGTGGTGAAAAGAAACCGACGCTAAAGTGCTGGAATTGCAGTGTTGAAGGCCACCTACGAAGGAACTGCAGAACACCCTAGGGCACGGAAACTAAGGCATACGATTTAAGCAGACAATTAAATGCCACGGGAAAGAAAAGCACTGACAAGAAACCAAAGTGTTGGAACTGTGGAGCTGAAGGCCACGTACGAAAGAATTGCAGAACACCCCAGCGTACGAAAATTGAGACAAGTTCCCAGCAACGATGCAGGAAACAAATTAGTGACCATATCAAGGAACTGAGGTTGCCACAGAATGAAAAACCTTGTTTTAAAGCGCTTAAAATTTACACAGTGAGTGGCAACAGTAACGGACTGTCCATTAATGGGAATATCGATGGAGTTCCTTGCAATATGATCATTGACACAGGAGCTGATGTTACCATCATTAGGAAAGATTTAGCTGAACAGTTTAAAGATAAACTTATTTGGATGCCATCCTGTGTTACCCTTCAGACTGCGTCTGGTGATAAGATCGACATTACAGACAGATTACAGACAGATATCAAGTTTTAAGACATCTGGCACTTGAAAGGAGTTCTGTATGATAAATGTAAAACTAATGATTGAAAGAATTTCAGGTGCAACTTGTCTGAGCAAGATATATAATAAGGGAGACAACATTTCAGAAGTAACAAAATTAAAAAATAGGCGAACAATTACATGCTCCCCACTCACATGGAAAATCAGGAAATTGAAAATGGTCTTCTGAACGTTTTGAAAAAGGTCAGGAAAAATCTTAACTGTTTCCAAAACGTTAAAAGAAGTTAAGAGGGAAAGAAAGGGAAAGGAGGAGTGTAGAGTAATTTTTCCAAGTATTAAAAAATTATCTAAAAATAGTAATTTCTGACCAAAAATTACTGCTTTTAAGAAAAGCAAATGAAAAATTATTGTAATCTTTGTTTTATTGCAGAAAGCACTTTACTGCAGAAAACTTTTTATATCTGATAACATTTTTTCGATCCATAACCTTTTCTCCATTTGTTAGTGAATTATTTTTCAGTTGTTCTCCTTTAGAAAAGTGAGTACTAGACTTCCGATTAATCGGGGGTAGTAGCGGGGATGACGTCCATTGTGAATCCCGAATCACGGTTGATCCGATAACAGTTGAAAAAAATACAGAGAAGTGGAAGAATACATATTGTAATTAGCAGAAAAAATAAGTAT